CTGCCACGCCATGTGGTCTCCTCCCGGGCAGGCAGGGATCGAACTCATGCGGAAGTGGCTTTAGTTTCTTAGTGCAGTGCTTTAACCCGCTGCGCCACCAGGGAGGGCCGCTTCTACTATTTTTAATGAAGGAAAACATGAAAATCCTTCATATTATGTTTGAGTACTACTGGGAAGAGACTAACCTTAAAATACACACGTGTCTGCATCCACAGATGTAAATAAACACTATGTAATATTAAGCACTCAGCACAGTGAAGGAACATAAAAGGGTATTAGATGGATTTAAACAGCTCATTATCCCCAAGCTTCACGGTGACTTGAACACACTACATGTACTACACTTAGAAGGTCAAATTTTGCATTATCAAAAACAGCTACCTCCTATATCCTCTTTATAGTCATAAAATATACCGGTCTGGGCATTAACAAACTCTTCTTATCCCTGGAGTTGATAGGTTCTGTGGGTGGATGAATGAATGGTAGGGGGCCTGCAATGGAACCGATGAAAAGAACGGAGGGGTGTGCAGGAATCTAGGGATGGATACCTAACACATTTACAGCCTTCCTTTATGTAGCCTTCATGAGGGGTCAAAGTCCTAAACCAAAATCCGGTATTTATCTCACCTCCAATCTACAAAATGAATTTGGGCTAATTTCATCTGTGAAACGGAGCCAAAAAAAGTACCTTGCAGTGGAGATAAAAGCAAATGATACATGTAAAAGTGTTTAACACAGAGTCTTGTATAATAAACTAAGAGTTAAGCCAAGTGTCAGATTCAACGCTCTTATTTCTGAAAGTCTACTACTCCCCCTTCTTTCTTCGAAATACGAACTGGAAAGACCGAAGAAGACGAATAAATGATGAAAATAGTAATCAAGAGTGAGCATCAAAACAGCTCTGAACCTCCCATCCACCCCTCCCCACTCCTGGGAGATTGAAAGTGAAACCCGACCTACACGTTTCCTGCAGAAGCTGCAGAAAACACCCAAGGGTGTGCGCGGACGTAAACAAACTCCGCGGCGCCGCCCTCGCGTCCAAGGGTCCGGGGAGGCTGCGCCGACGCTTCACTGGGCCTGGAGATCCAGACCCGGAGGATGCGCCGAGAAACCCCACGAATGCCCGCAAACAGGCTCATCCCCCTTTGCGCCCTGCTTCCCACCGGACGTGTGATGCGACTGGCTCACCTCCACCAGCCGGCAGTTCCCGGGAACGAAGTGGATGGACAGCTCCTTCTCCCGTCCCACCATGCCCGCCGTCTTGGAACCGCCGCCCCAGCGGCCGCCACCTCCGCTGGCCCAGGATCGCCTCGGGCAGCAGCGTCTAAACCTTAGGCCCGCCTCCGGACCGGCCCCCGCTGGCTGCTTCCGGCTTCCGCCGCCAAAGCCACGCCCACTGATTGGTCCTGGCTCCGCCGACGCCGCCGAAAATGGGCGGATGCATCCAGGACGCTCCCAGCCCACGCGCCAACTCTTAAAGGGATACGCCCCCAAAACCCTAGGCCTAGAGCAACTAAGGCCAGTTTTGTTTTGGGTGGTGGTTTGCTTACTACCCTCCTTCCGTCTCCCACAGTCTCTTTTCTTTTAGATTAGGAACTGGTTGAAACAGGATCACAAGGACTTTCAAATATGCAGACTGCGCACAACCTAAGCATCCACCAAACATGTGATCTATAAAGTGACTTAAACATTCTAAAGACACTGCGCTGGGAGCCGAGAGGAAGAGAACACTGCGGGCATGGATCGCTAGGGCCTTCGGGGATTTTGAAAAAACTAGGAATAAAAATAAGTGTTGGCAGCAGAGTCAGGAACACCTCAAGAATCCATTTGCCTTTCCGGGATGCTAAAAAAAAGTAGTGCATGTGAAATTCCAAAGAAGTCGAAGTCTATTTTTAATCAGTTAAAAATAAAAAATGCAGGGGGGTTGGGGGGTTAGGGAGGAAAAAGAGGGAGGTGAATGATTTGGGTGCCTCTTCCAAACGCAGGTTCTCGGGCTTTCCGAGAATTAAAAAATACGGATCTGAGAGAGCAGAGCACCGGCTGTACACTTTGGTGTCAACAGGAGTCCACACCATACTTGGTGAAGCACCGCCTTGGGGGCCGAGCCTCAGAAACCACTAAAAATTAAAGGCGAGAGAGGACCTCTGTCACCTGTGTCGCGCTTTTAAAGCAACAAATCCGAAACCATAGCCCAGGTGTTGAGCCCAGCCTAGCACGCAACTAACTTTTCAAGTTCAAACCCGCCAAGTCCCCCTCAACTGGTGAAATTTACGCAGAAAAAAAGCCAGCACGGACCGAGTAGGGTTGGCCAAGTACACAGAACATTGTGCTCTCTCTCGTCCATTCACCTATGATACCAAGACCTAAGAGTCGCCCACTGCTTGGATTTTTTCTTAAAGAGGACATAGAGAGCTATATAAATGCATATTTCTTTGAGTTTATCGCAGGGCTTAACCCAATGGGACTTTAAGTCGTTCTAAACCTGAGTCCTGTGACTCCTTCCTTACACAACCCCCACACCACACTCCACTTTTTCAAGTAAACAAAGTTTCCTTGGAACCGAAAGGAAGGAGCCAGAGGCTCCTCACTTTTTGCTTAAGTCAGGCGATAGCAGTTATCAATTTAGCATTCCTACAGGAATGCTCCCTTAATGAAAGGTGTGGGTGGGTGGAAGCCTATTCCAGATCCTCAGAAGCCTCTTTTCTAAAAAATGGGAATTTCTTTAAAGTTTTAGTTGCAACCTGTGGGACGATCTCATTTTTCAAGGGGGGGAAAAAATGTAGAGAGAGTGGGTATTTTAGTACATGCACATGCAATTAGCAATTTGATTCTCAGAGCAACCCAGTCTATACAGAGGAACAGAAAATAGTTTACTTGCCTACATTTAAGAATCTAGTTTGAATCCTGCCAGGTAAAACGGGTCTATTTCTAGGGACTATGTTAGTATGTTGTTTCTAATCACTCATTAAAGATGACCGTTTCTCTGTGAATAAAAAAGACAATATATATCCAACTTCCTGTGGTGACAACATTTAAAGAGAGCCCAGAGTTAATGAGCAGGTTGAATTCATGCAACACAAAGAAGCTGGACCGCACAACAGATAAAAGCTTACTAATATACAACCTTCATCCACATCATTAGCTTTAATATGGTAAATGAAACTGCAGTTCCGTTTTGCGTTTTATTAATTAATGATACGGAGAGCTCACTCTCCGTAACCTGGTTCCTAAAATCAGCAATTAAAGTTGGGTTCTTTTCCAAACACCACAGGAAGGTTTCAAAGAAATCACTAACACCCATTTCTTTTTTTCTTTGTTTTTTTCTTTTTTTAAACACATCGTTTAAATTAAGCTTCTGGCAAATGGTCACTGGGGTGCTTTTAAGCAACTAATTCCAGAACGTCTCTTTCTGGAACAGCTCCGTCTTACCTGTTCCATGTCCTCCGGCATTTCAGGCATGGTTCCAAAATTTTCTTGAGAAAACAGATTTCTGGAATGGGTCTCAGCCTCCGTCTGCTCCAGCCGGGTCTTTGTTCTGCCGGGAGAGTGCTGGCACGCAAAAAACGTGAGCTGTAGCTTCAGTCGACCTTTTAGATTAGCAGCTTGATTCCAATCCCAGAATCTCATGCAATTTGCCACATTGCAGTAACCTGGCAGCTGATTCCCCGTGGCTGTCCTTGAAAATATCCAATGAGAAGTTTCATATTTAATAGCCCGCCAAGCGAGAGTTCATAGCCAAAGCATTAGGAGATCTAGCTCTTTTTAAACAAAAACAAAACTCGAACAAACAAAAAAAAAACCCTTCCGGTGAAGACCTTACAAATTTGCTTTTGCAAAAAAGCTAGAACCAGCGTTAGGTAAGCTCTACAGACCGACCGCGCAACGTCCCAGTTCTGAAATATTTTGTTCAGTTATGACAACAGAATCGACTTAGGAAGTTTTTGAGAGCTTCCTCCCCTCCCCACACCAGTCCGAGTTAACTATTTCCAAGGGCGATCAAAGACGTGCCGGTGCTAACAGAACACAAATTGAAACAGGCCATTTTCATTAACATTATGTTGGCCCCAGAGAAAAAGGTAGGTGGAGTAGCTTTGTTTGACCACGCATTCAAGATTTCCAGTGATTCCCATAATCTGTCTCTAAACAACCAAAGCAAAATAAGAAACCGAATCTGCCAGCACCACCGAATATGAAACAAAAATCATTCCGTAGGAGCAGAGCCCACGTAACTTTTTTTTTAAAAAACACTATCAAGGGCTGAGCCCTTGCTGGTGATGCAAAGGCTTAAAGCACTAAGAAGAGATCCTAGGCCACCGCACCTGGAGGTGACCAAGGAGGCCAAGGCATGGCTGGGTAGACCTCTCCAGACCTCGCTGCTCCTCGCTGCTCCTCAGCAGTGTATTTCAGTTATCTGCCTGTTCTGCTCCCTACTGTGTCTCTGGTGAATCCTCTCACCTCTGCATCTCTGGCCTGTATCCCAGTTCTTGCATGCATAAGTAAATAAATCTTTAGCAAAATAATAAAATAAAATAAACACTATCAAGAGTGATGAATATATTCAGTAAAATTCTGAACCGTGTTTGGATTATGTCTAACAATGTAAGAACACCAACAATAAAAATGGCACTTAAATAGAACTATAAAAACATGTGTGCATGTATGCATATACACATACATGTACACACATAGCATATGTATAATGATCTGCCCACTTAACTCACATAGCACATGGTAAATTGCAGTTAGGTATGCAGTGATGTAAGGTGTGAAAAACTAAATTATTTTTTAAATTGATAAATTAAAATTCATCAAAACTGAAAGTTTCTGCTCCTCAAAATATACTACAAATGAATAAACAAAGCCAACAGATAAAAATAATCTTCAGACTATATCTGAGAACCACGTACTCTGAATATTTAATGAACTTGCATTTTGTAACTTTATTTTATAGCACTTTTTAATACATATGATACTACTATTTATATTTTAGGCTGTCTCTGTCTACTCAGCTATGTAAACTTTAGAGAAAAGCATTCGTTTCTCTTTTCCTTCCTCTTTTTTTATTAATTTTTTCTGATATCATTGTAGTCCCCATAGTTCCACAGCCATTATCAGCCTTGAACCATCACCATATTCGCTTGTGTTCTTCCCTTTAGGGTAAAGTTTTTTCATCTCTGTATCAGCTCCAAACTCAGTGCCTAGCAAAAAAAACTAGATGTTTCAAATTTGTTTTGAATATGTAAGTCAATAAATTACTAGGTTAAAATCATTATCAAAGCATAATTTGTCTTCTCGATTCTCCACTGTGTAAACACAGGAATATAATACATTTTGATTATCAAAAATTAGACTTTACTTGTTGTGGTTCAGGTAATACTAGTGAAGAACAGTGTAGGTTTCAAATGTACAATTTCTCACCTAGGGAACTCTATCGTACCAAGCCACCACCAAGTGAAAAAAAAAAACTATTTTAAGCCATTCTTTTTAATAATGTGTGCATGACCATTTTGTTGTTAAAAAGATAATTAATGGAGGGCTCTCCCTGGTGGCCCAGTGGGTTAAAGCACAGCACCAAGAAGCTAAAGCCACTACAGCATGAGTTCAATTCCTGCCTGCCCGGAGGAGATCCACATGGTGCCGAAGAACTCTCCTGACCCTCCTGCTGCTCCCCTCAGCAGTGTACTTCTATGGTCTGCCTGTTCTGCTCCCCACTCTGTCTCTGGTGAAGCCTCTCACCACCCTGCAACTCTGGCCTGTACCCCAGTTCTGTATGTATAAATAAATAAATCTTAAAAAAAGATAATGGAGCTGCCCTCCAGTACCAGTGGTTGAAGATGGCACATTTTAAATATGAAAACAAATCATAATAGGAAAATGCAGAAGAATCGATTCAGCTGATGATTGCTACTAGTGACATAAAAAAATATTTAAAGAACAATTAATAAACATGCTTACTACAGAAGATAAAAATATTGACTATTTGCATTCTTCCTATACATAAAACTATTTTTAATTTTTTCAGGCAAAAAAATATGCAGTCCAAGGGCTAAAATGCTCTGTGGTTTATCTCGAGGCAACTTAAGATGTCACTCTGCTTTATATTTAAATCAGTTGCCACACAATTCAAACTTTTAAGGTATAAATTTCAAGGTTCTCAGTATACTCAAACTTATGCCGCCATCATCACTGTCCAGTCTATACTGTCAAGTTCTGGGGTCGCCCTGGTGATGCAAGGGGCCCAGTCTCAGCACCATGCAAGAGGCCAAGTCTCAGCTATTGGCAGGTACTGCAGCATGACCCACAGGGCACGGCAGACCTCTCCTATCTCGCCCGCTGCCCCCCTTAGCAGTGCATTTGCCTGTTCTGCTCCTCACTCTCTCTGGTGAATCCTCTCACCACCCATCCTGCAACTCTGCCATACACCCTAGCTCTTGTATAAATCTTAAAACAAACAAACAAGAAAACCTGGAAGCAGGAGGGTGCTATAAGATCCACAGAGGAAGAGGACTGTGAGCTTCTGTTTTGTCTTACTTAGTTTTAGAGGGTCCAGTACTAGACCATGTTTGCATGACCATGACAATGTCCCATTAAGTAAAGGGAGGTGTTATGAGGTGATTTGTGGTCCCCCAAATGACATGTCCTATGGGCCTGTTACTAGCCCCTGTTACAGGGCAATCCCAATGTAAAATAGGCTGGCCTGACTGTGGGTCCTCACCCACCTCACATACTTTAAGAGACTTATTTGACTCAACTACAGGTAGACACAAAAAGGTTAATAAAGGGTTTACTTACAAAAAGGGGAAATGAAGAAATGAGTAACTTAGGGAGAAAGAGATAAAGAATGTGTCCTACCAGTTGCGCTGATCTGGAATTCCGATAGCAAGCTGAAGTCTTCTAAAAAACAAATGACCCCCAATGCCCACATGTCTAGTTTATATACCAAGCCTGGATGCTTAACTCCACCCTCAGTTCCCAGCAATCCTCCCTTCAGTGATGATGACATTATGGGATTTGCAATCCCTGGTGTCTTGGATCTCTTTGGTCTGGGTAGGGGTGGGGTCCATAAAACCTATTTGTGGAGTTTGTTCAAGACAACCTTTCCAGCCAACAACCCTACAAGGCTCTTATCAAGTTAAACAAGAGCAGGGCGCTAGATCCTCTGGGACAATGGGTATATATCAGGAGATATGACCAGGAACACAGGATTTGAGGGTATGGGAGATGTTGGTGGTGTTGACTGATGTACTTTGGGTCTCAGACTGATCAGTGGAACACCTTGTTAATAAGATTGGAACCATGGGTGGGAGACAGGATTACGATTTACCTAATCCATGCACTAACCCTCCTAAAGGCCTATAACATAACCATATTTCCAGTTGACCCACCCTTTTCTCTTTGTTCTATCAACAAAAAGGCCAGGATCTTGCTCTTTCAGCAGCATTCTGCACTGTACAGCCTGCTTCATGGCTGCCATCAGGACTCCCATTTCTTTTCTTTGCCATGTGGTGTTGCTAATGCATCAGTGTTCAAAGTTAACCCCCAGCATCTTAGAGTGTGCCTTTTACCAGGGTAGGGAGTATAACTCTCCTAAAGGCAGGGGTACTTGTGAAGTCTTACGGGCCCACCCTGTTATCAATGGAGAGAAGTGTGTTCCTCCCTCTGGAAGTACTGTTTTTGAAGAATAACTTTGCAACAAGTAAAGGCAGAAGACAGAAATACATATGCATTCAGGTTAGCAAATTTAATAGAGAAAAATAAGGAAGTCCCTGCCTTATCGCTTCAATCTTCAGTTGAGTATGTGGTAATGCCAGCAGCTGAGGGTATGGGGAAGGAAAAGATACAGGAGTCAGAACTTTGAATAGTGGCCTAAGCTAACATTATATACATTTGTGGCTTTTTTATTACAAAAAATTTCATACAGAAAAGTTTAAAGAACCTAATAAACATCCTTATGCATCCTACCCAGATGCATTAACAGTTGTTAATGTTTTACTGTAATTGCTTGTTTTATGTATGGTTGTGGCTGTGTATAAAATTAATTTTCTGACTACTTGAAATTAAATGGCAGACATCATGACATTTACTCCTAAAGACATCAGTGTTCACCTTCTAAAAATAAAATCATTCTTTTCTAGGACAGTGATTCCATTGTCACACTTTACAAGATTCACAATTCTGTAACATAATTTTGATTTAAATTTCTCTAGTTATTTCAAAAACAAACATATAATTCATAAATTCAAAATTCAAACATTTTGCTTTGTTGTCACCTTTGTAGTTTCTTCAAATCTTAATCAATCATCCTGGGCCTCCCTGGTGGCCTGGGGTTAAGTCAGTGCTATCACCTCTATGACCTGAGTTCAATCCCTCAACAGGGAGCTCATCCACGTATGGCGCAGCAGATCTCTTCTGTCTTGCCCACTGCTCCCCTTAGCCTGTTACGCTCCCCATACGTCTCTGGTGAATCCTCACTCCAGGACCCTGGCTTACAACACCCAGTTTTTCTGCGCAAAAATAAACCTCCCTGCTTTTTATTTTTTAAGATTTAAGTTTTCTAGATTTTAGGTACATAGCAAAACTGAGAGGAAGAACACTTTTCCCACATGCCTTGTTTGCCCATCCATAGACAGCCTCTCCATCATCAACATCCTCCTCCAGGGTGGGGTATGAGAAATGAATCTACATCAGCACATTCTAATCACTCAAAGCCCATAGTTTGCATTAGGGTTCACTTTTAGTGGTTTTTATGTGTTTGGACAAAGAATGTTATTATTTTAGCATCATACACGGTGTTTTCACTGCTCTAAAATTTCTTTGTGCTCTATATATTCATTCCACTTCATCCCCCAAGCCTAGCAACTACTGATTTTTTTATTACACTCCCTCGTTTTCTTTTCCTAAATGTTCTGTACTTGGAATCGTACAGTATAGTCTTTTAAGATTGGCTTCTTTTACTTAGTTCTATGTAGTTACATTTACACTATGTCTTTTCATGGCTCCACAGATCATCCTTTGTGGTACCAAACAATACTCCATTGTCTGGATGGTTGCTCCCAAGATTTGGCAATGTCTAAAGCTTCTATAAACATGTTTTGGAGTTTCTGTATGGACATTCCTATTTTTTCTTCATTTTTGTAATATCATTACTGAGATTAAAAACTAAGCCTCCACTCCTTGCTCAGAACCAAGTTTGCAAGCTTGAATAAAGGGACTGCCGTAGAAACAGGGCTGTTAAACTGCTTATCCAGATTATTAGTCATGACACACCCAAGATGAGTCACCTTAACCAACCAATGATACCTGATTCTTTGTTACCATTTGGTCGGTTGGCACATTCCCTCCACCCCACCTTTCCCATTAGCAAGTAATCTCTGGCTCTTATTTTGGAAGCTGTGACAGTCCTGTGACCTAAAATTCTTTACTTGCTTCCATTGGTGGTGTTCATCTAAATCAATTTTACACCAGAGGTGGTAAAGCTAGTATTTAGATCCTCGAGTTAATGAGATCATCTTTGGAAAGAGAAGATAGCTGAAGAACAAAGGAGAGTCCAAATTCAACTTTGTATTCATTCTAACTATTGTTGTCAGGTATAGGAAGGTTCAGTAAAGGAGTAAGAAAAGAAGCAGTTAAGTGAAACCTAATACAGGAACCAAATATATTTCATTAGCAGCCTGGAAAAGAATATTTCAAAATAAAGAAGGTGTAAGTTAGAGTAAAATGAAATATTCCTTGTTTTCTTGATGTTAGAGCCAATGAGAGTTAGGAAGTGAAAGGGTCTAACCCTTCCTGTGATAAGCACTGCTGTAACCAAGATGGTGACAGGGGATGAAGTGCCTGCTCTGTTGTCTCTAGGGAAGCTAGATGGTAAAATTTGATTTTATTGACTTAGCTGACTAAAGGACTACTGAACTAGACATGGGTCTCACCCAAAATTTTTATGAGTGGATATACTGTTTTTATCCTTTTATTTGAACTGTACTTCTGTAGGTATCATATAGCTAGGTCTTTTTAATCTGATACAATCATTACTGTAGTTTATTGGGATATACAGACCATTTATTTGCATTTAGCGCACTGTCGATACAGTTAAACTTACGCTATTGCTACTTGATTTCTATTTGCCACTTTTTTCTCTTTTCCAGTTTTTTAATTAGTTGAATACTTTCATAAGTTCATTTTATCTTCTTTGTTAGGTAACTGACTACAAGTAATTTAATTCAGTGATACAGGACTTACAGTATACATTATTGTCACAAGTCTATCTTCAAGTAACATTATGCCACTTTCCATATATTATAAGAAACTTACAGGCAGCTGCTTGTCTGTCTGTGACTGTTCAGGAGTTTCTAAAAAGAAAACAAGTAACCTATTATCCATGTAGTTCTCACTTCTGGTGTTCTTCATTCTTTAGAGTAGGTTTTTATTTCTATTTGGCATCATTTTCCTTCTGCCCAAAGGACTTTTAAGATTTCTCATAGTGTAGTTCTGCTGATAATTTTTTTTTTTTTTAGTTCTTTATTATTTCTGAAAATTATTTTTTCTCTTTACTCTTTCAAAAAAACTTTCTGGGCTTCCCTGGTGATGCAATGGGTTAAAGCACAGAACTATGAAGCTACCCACAGCCACTGTAGCACAAGTTCAATCCCCGGCCAGGGAGGTGACCCACAGGCTATAGCAGACCTCTCCTGTCTTGCCTGCTGCTCCCCTCAGTGTATTTCAGTAGATCCACTTGTTCTGTTCTCCACTCTGTCTTTGGTGAGTCCTCTCACCCCTCTACATCTTTGACTGTGAGCACCCCAGCTCTTGTATGCATAAACAATCCCTTAAAAAAAACTTTCAGTGACAGTTTTTCTTAATCACTATTTTTTTTTTATGATTTATTTATTTGTGCATACAGAACTGGGGTACAAGCCAGAGGCTGAGGGGCGGTGAGAGGCTTCACCTGAGACAGAGTGGGGAGCAGAACAGGCAGATCGACAAAGTACACTGCTGAGGGGAGCAGCGGGCAAAACAGGAGGTCTGCCGCACCATGTGGGTCACCTCTGGGCCACGGCTAGCTTGCAGTGCTGCATCCTAACCTGTTGTGCCACTAGGGAGGATCCTGTTTCCTGTTCTTAAGACTCATTGATTTCCTTGGCTCTGTGGATTGTTTTTCACACTTGAAAATGTTTTCACTATTACTTCTTCAAATCATTTTTGTCTCCTCCTTGCCCTTTTTGAGAAGTCCAATTACATGTACACTAAACTGATTGACATTGTCTTATAGGTGCTGTGTCCAGTTTTCAATCTTTTTCTGTATTTCATTTAGATTAATCTCTACTTCTTGTTTTGTGCATTATTTTATTTATTTATTTTAAAAGATTTATTTATTTGTGCATACAGAACTGAGGTACAGGCCAAAGGTGCAGGGGCAGTGAGGATTCACCAGAGACAGAGTGGGGAGCAGAACAAGCAGATCAATGAAGTACACTGCTGAGTGGAGCAGTGGGCAAGTCAGGAGAGGTCTGCTGTGCCATGTGGATCACCCCCAGGGCAGGCGGGAATCAAACTCATGCAGAAGTGGCTTTAGCTTCTTAGTGCTGTGCTTTAACCCACTGCGCCACCAGTTTTGTGAATTATTTTTACTGAGGCAACGTTAGTTTACAACAGACAGAATAGACATAATCTCACAACACCTACTACCAATAACCCTGCACCACATTCCTCAGTAACCTGTCCTCCCACTGCTGCTTTCAAGTTCTCTGATCTTTCCTTCTGCAATGTCTATCTAATATTACCCCCATCCAGATACTTTGCCTGGCTGGCATATTATTTTTATCTTTGCAAGTTTGATGATTTTGCTAAGCTTTGGAATAAATGGAATACTGTTGTAACTGTTCTGATGTCCTCTAATAATCTGGTACCTGATGGGTGGTGTTTTCCCATCTCTCTCTGTGTGTCTGGTTGAGTGTTAGAAACGGTGACATTTACCCTTTTGACTGCTGGGTAGTTTTACACTTGAGTTTCACCCTGGCATATAATTTTCTTATAGTTTGATCCTTCTGGGTCATTCTTTTAAGATTAGGGGAAACCAAGCTGTGCTCACTTTAGGACAATTCATTCAAAACCAAGGTAAATAAACCCTTCTTTACATTCTACTCATCACCATGTATGTAAATCATGGCTTCCAGTTTGCCAGGTGGGAATAGGCAATATAGTTAGCACTGTGCACGATCTGACACTAGTACTTCTAACTTGTTGGAGGAGGTGAGTGGTGCTTTCCCAGTTTCAGTTTCCTCAGTTTCACACAAAAAAGCAGATGTTACAAACTACTTTATTAGATGATTTGACTTCTACATTTCTTCTGAACTTATTTCACATACTGACATTTTAAAAAACAACCATATATTAAGATCCAATAATATACTTTATTAAGAAAAATCTAGCTTAACTATAATAGTCTCCTTTGGTCCATCAATGGGAAAACATTATAAAGTGGCTTATAGTATCATGACTGTAGCTCAGATATTCTAGAAAAAGAATTACAACTTTCTGAACAGCATTTAATTCGGATTTTAGGAGTCAGGTGGGGTGGGGAGGTCAGAGACAATATATACACCTTAAATAGAAGCCTTGATGTAACATCATGTATTGCAAGTTGAATTACTGGGTAAATGACCCACTGTGTGATTTTATTTCCTATTACACAAATTTTAACCAAACACTGTTTACTCTTATGCAAACAGCATAAGAATAATTCTCTAAAGAATTCATAAGCAAAGGTTTTCAGAATAATTTACGCAGAAATTATTTCTCAGAATTTCTAGCAGAGTTTATTAAAAATGCATTCTGAGCCAAACCCCAGATTTTAATTCCGTGAGACTGTAGTGAGATCTAGGAATCACATTATCAACCAATTCAGACTGTGAAATTACTTTACAAAGATTACTATACAGGCAAGTTTGTCTTTATGATACAATTTGAAGTGGATGAATGGACAGCCAGTAGAAGAATGAATATTACTAGGAGAATCACAGGAGTTTGCAAGATTGTTTTAGTAAAAGCCAAGGTGTTTGGCCTTGCTGAAGAAGGTAAGATGAGAAAAGGCCTTGACTGCAAAATTATAAAATTCAAATCTGGAAACCACCTAATGCTTTAGAATAGCGAAATAGTCAGGAAAGTGATTTGTAAAGGAATATTGACTTGATGTGATGAGTTGTAAAGCTGGAAAGCCAGTTAGTTTAGCAGGAAGTGAATGAGGTGATAAAAATGAGCATCAATGAGGAGGTACTGATAAGGGAAAGTAACATTTCAAAAGACATAGTAACATAAACATTGAACTTCCTTTCACATACCCAGGACAGGAAGTTACTATTAAATATAACATTAAAGGATATATATAAAATAAACATATTAACAGTAACATCACATATAATAAGAATAAAATCATCTTCAACAGATTTTTCCAGATGTTAATTTTGCATGATTCTGGAAACTCCATGAGCACTCAGTAGCAGTTTGTATTGCCTAAAGGGATTATTAAAAAGTTATTAATATTCTGAAACAAATTTATCAGTCACTAGAAAGTAAAAGCAGATGTCTGCTATCTTCATTAAAGCAGTTTAAGCTGTGCTTATATTCATTTATGATCTTGTGCAGCTGTGCCTTATTGCCAAAGATGCAGATTCACAGGTCAATAAAATCTACTTTTCTCATTAGACATTTAGGTTAAACTGCTAAGGGTAAGTTAGCAGGAACAGTTTTAGTTAGAGGGAAGGTAGGACAAAGATCAGAGAAGATATCCAAGATATAGTTTGAACTGGACTTGTTGACTGTTGGAATCTGGACATAGGGAAATTAGAGAGCAAGGTGGGGAGGAAAGAAAAGGCATTTTATGCAAAGATCTCAGTAAGAATTTCTTCTACATGAAAAAGTGTCCACGAATTTTCACAGTTCATAAAAATGGAGAACTTGCTAAATGCTTCAAAGCAAATCCAAAGGAAAAGCAACACACTTTTATTCATTTCTTACCTTCTTTTAATGGGGTTTTAGGAGCAAAATTTTCTTTACTTTCATGATGAAAAGCCTTTGAAGGGTCAAAGCGTTTGATGCCCAGAACTTTATTCAATTCCTCCTGAAGCTTTGCCTCACTTTGTTTTTTTTTAGCAAGCTGACAGCGAAGTTTTGACATCTCCTACATAAGAAAAATAAAGCTGTTAAAAAACTCAGATGCTTAACTATATTTGAACATTGCCTGTCTTTATGGTATTTATTCACAACCAGGGCTTTGATATTTTGCAAGCTAAAATGCATATGTAAAGCTTATGAAGTCTTCCAATTACAGTACTAATTTTTAATACCTGAATAAAGAAGCTGTAAAACATCAAATATCGATCTGGTAAACAGCCTAAAATAAATCTGTAATTCTCAGACGCATATTCCTTTAGTTTCCCCCTGATACAAGCATTCGTAATTTTACTTAAAAAGCCAAAAAAAAAAAGAGTAAATACGAAATCCAGTATCTTTAGAAAAACAAAGTGTTATTTTACAAACCGACTTCAGCTGGCTATTTTCATCTTTCAATTTCACAACATGCTTGATTTTTTGCTTTAGATTCTGATGACCCAATAATTTAGCATAGGAATCTCTTAGTTTATTAAGTTGTTCCTGAGCTTCACCATGCTCATTCAACAAAGCCTGTTTCTCTGCTTCAAATGCATCCAGTTGTAGCTGAAAGAGAGTTTTTTTTTAGACTTCAGACTTCAATCTTTCTCGTATTATATAAACTGTAAAAAAACAATAAAGTAAAAAAGTAGAAAAACAACAGATAAAATTAGATCGTGCTGAGATATCCTTGGGGCTTCCTATAAGTTCCTTTGTCTTTCATGTCAAAGATCATGAAAACAGAAGAAAAGGTCGGCTTGTCTAATGTATACATCTGGAGCATTTTATGCACCAAGATTAGCACTCGACTTTTTTGCTTTTAAGATCAGTGTATTAATGTGAAAAATACTGAGGGAGATAAAAGTATCTGAGACAAAATAGGCATCAGAAATTTACATTGGTCCCTTATGCAAAGTTCACTATCAGAAGTCTGCTAAGCTATTAACTTAAAACCCCAAATCACAAAGAATTTTTAAAAACCTATAAAGGCTACACTAAAAGTTGACAAAATTTAAAGAAAATATATAAGCCTTCTTCAAGATGTTAAATTAGCAGGCTGCAAATGCACAGCAAAATGATCTTTCAGCAAAACCCAGTTATTGTGAAGGGGAGAGAAATGAAGCCTTAAAAGGAACACAAGGTTAGTCCTAATGGGCAAACCTGAAAAGGTTTTGTTTTATTATATAGCTCTTCATAAAGCAGACGCCACTTCTTCATTTCCTCAGTTAATTCTGCTATTGTGATTTCCTTTTTGGCTTCTCTGTAAAAGAAAATCAAATTAGAAAAACATTGTTTTTTAGAAAAAAGTCTTGTGGCACTCAAGGTAATAAACCTAGATCACCTTGCTTCTTCCTCTTCCTGTTGTTTCTTATAGGTTTCACCTTGTTGCTTGAGTTGGTTCTGCAAATCAGTTATTTTTTCAAGAGAAGAAATGGTGATTTCTTTAATTTCTGCTTCTTTAAGTGCTGATTTGGTCTGCAGATCTAGAAGCATCCTTAGGTTTGAGAAAGGAGTTTACTACATATTTCAGTCATTGAAATGATCTTTTTCTTTTCCTTATTTCCTTCTTCAAGGATTGTACTTTTATAACTGAGTATATTATGAATTTGCTATTTAAGATCCCCAAACAAAGCCTGGAGACTATAATTCTCTATACCCCTTCAGTGCTCTCAGTGCTATTAAGTTGGCTTAGTAACACTAAGGTCCTAGATGTGGGCAGGCCTTATTTTTCCTACTTACCTTGCATATTCTTGATTTGAGCTCTCAGTTGCCAACATCTGATGTTGTAAATCCTCTGCATTCTTCATGGCCTTGACTACTTTTTCCTCAAGTGATAAGTTCACTTGCTTAAGGTCTTGCATTTCACTGGCTGTTAATGTTTTATAGCTTAAAAAAAAAGTTAGTTTCTTTGAACTACTGTATGCATGACAAATACATAGCTGATTGCTTTATATTTTATAAACTTTTAGTAAAACAAACAAAACCTTATACTTATACATACAGATACAAGTAAGAATTGAATGTGTTGAGGTCAGTACAAATGAGCATACATGGCATATGCTGTTGATTCAAAGGAATAAAATCAAATGCCTAAAATGTGCAACAAGTACGCATGGAGATGAAAAAATCAACAACAAAGAATGAAAATTAGTCTCAAGACAAGGCGTCTACAAGCCCCACACCATGGGTTACAGAGTTTATATAGTCTTGTGGGGAAGTGAGGAACTGCCTCATCAGGTCTTCTCCCCAAATGGAAAAATACATTTATAGTTAAGTTTGTGGTAGGCATTATAAAGTAAAACCAGAGAGCACCTAAGCTGATAAAATAGAAAAGTCTACATTTTGGTTAGTGATTTGGAAAAGGCCTTTCTAAAGCACTTAGAGTTAGGAGTTATCTAGGCAGAGATTAAGTATTTTAGAGGGAAAAGAAGGAAATATACTCTAAGGCAGGAAGGACACCGTCCATTAAGGGATGGCACCAGAGGCTAATATGAATAAGAGCAGCAGCAACAGAAGCCAGAGGTGTGAGGCCAGGCATGGCTGTTGGTAACTTAAAAGAAAAAGTGAACATGCTAAAGATGTTGAGTGTGTGAATTATTCTGAGCAATGAAGAGAATGTGTTGGGGAAGGGGCTGGAATGCACATCTGGAAGATTAATGAGAAGACTATTTGTCCGCCCAGCTGAGTGAAAAAAGGGAGTTGGACTCAGGAGTTGGCAACTCTTGGAGGCAGGAATGAAAAATTTAAGAGATTGGATGTTGGGAAAAAGGGGAAGAACGTGATCAAAGATGACTCTAAGATATATGGAATGAAAAGCTAGGAGGATGAACACATCATCAATCAAGAAAAAAACAAATGAAACTAGAGGTAGGAAGAGATGGAAGGAAGACCAAGAGTTGTTTTAGACAGGTTTATACTAGATGATAGTGAGGTATCTCGTTGAAGGTGTCAAGTAAAGAGCTGAATATATGGGTCCAAAGCAGAAACGAGAGAGCTGGCCTGAAGAAACACACTTTACTGTTATTAGCAGAATGATGAGGAGTAAATCAGAATGGGTAAAAATTCTCCCAGTGCACAACTTTTCAAAGAAGTGAAATCCCTTTATAGATGAGATTTAGAACAGCACTACAAAAGTTATATATATACCCAGAGAATTTACATGTATACTGACATAAATTACAAATAAAATATTAAAATATGTATGACCTTTTGACATAGTTAATCACAGGCAGAAACAGATCTCAATGGATAGATGAATGGGTGCTAGACACTTGCTAATCTATATGGAAAAGCAAAAATACATTTGACTCTTCCAATATCACAGAGAAATCAGTTCTAGATAGCTCAAAAAACCAGAAAGTATTAGTTTGAAACTTTAGAAGAAAAATAGATGAATGCTTTTATGTTCTCAAAAGATGAAATTGTTAAGTGAAGCACAAGGTATTTACACATTCCCCATATGTCCTGGAACTACAGGGGGAAAAAAATTAATAAAATCTATAGCAGTCCCTGTGAATAAACAACCTCTGGAGATGTAATTTAATCTCAGAAATAATACATATTGCAGTGTAGAAAGACAGGTTCTACGAAAAGGCATTTTTTAAAGTCACAAAGTTATATACAAAACTGTATACAAGAAGTATACAGTTACAAAATTATCCAGATGAAAAAAAACCTGGACATTAATGCAAGTTTTGAGATGGTGTTTTGCAGGAAGACATGAAGATGGGCTGGGAAGGAACTTATATGTAGATACTAATTATTGAAAATCTACTATCTTATTGGTTGTCTTTTATGGACTCATGTTTGTTGAATTTATCTTTATGCTTTTGAAGTTTTGTATATGCTATATATCTTTTGCATTTATTAAATATAAACATAAAGGAAGAGAAACTTCCCTGAAGTGATCTAAAGTAATTATGAAAAATAAAAATGCTACTATTAATGTACTCTTGATATGAGGTACAGAGCTGTTTGCAGTTCTAGTCTCCTCAAACTTTTTTCTTCCCCAGAAGGCACAGGCAGTGAGAGTGGATATAGAATTTAGATAATCTTCTATCAAGAAGTCAGGTTATGGAGAGGAGCACAATTTGGGAGTAATAGGGGTGTTGGAGAGTGAGTGGTATTGTTGAACAGTTGCAGAAGTGGGGGAGGGTGAAGGAATTAAAAAAAATTCTAAGCATTTAAAAATTAAAGGCAGATTAACATGTTTGACTACAGACTACAGAACTTCTAGTAGACTGCTTGAAAATGATAGGAGACAAGAGATAAAGATGTGATGAGGTCACTGGAAGTTAAAGATTGGGACAATTCATCTGTAAGAGGTGGGAAGACAGGATAAGCATACTGTAGGTACAGTTATAGGCTGGATGATGGGGAGATAAAATGCCTTTGCCTATCCATGTAACAGCTTTTGCCACAGATTTCCCTCAATGCCTCTCCCTGTTCACATTCTATTTAAGAGTATGGACTCCCAGGAAAAATACCTTTCAAACTGAAGAGTAATATCACTAAGGTCTTGCATTGCATTCTTCAACTTCTCCTGCCAGGTCTGCTTGGCTTGAGTGTGAGCAGAGTTACTTTTCTCCAGCTCCACTTCTTTCCTAAAGACAAAAGAACAATTAAAAAGGTAAAAAGCAAATTATAAATCATTACCCCAAGATATCAGTGTTTTCCTTTAACGGTATGAGTCCTGTACCTGAGATCTTCATTTTAGTAATAGCTATTGGATGGTTTAGACCTAAGTTGACAACCTACCTCTAGAATCATGTTCACTTATGTACTAACTTTTCTTCTGGTTTTAACTTTTCTATCATTTTAACAATGATTTTCATCCTAACATTTCATTCTAAGTTTGTCTTTTTTTTTTTTAAGGTTTATTTATTTACTCATACAGAACTGGGGTACAGGCCAGAGGTGCAGAGGTGGTCAAAGGCTTCACCAGAGACACAGTGGGAAGCAGAATAGGCAGACTGATGAAGTACACTGCTGATGGGAATAGCGGGTAGGTCAGAAGAGGTCTGCTGTGCCAGTTGGTCACCTCCAGGGTCAGGGGTCAAACTCGCAGGGAAGTGGCTGCGACTTGCTTACAGTGCTGCGTCCTAAACCATTGTGCCACCAGGGAGAGCCTTAAGTTTATCTTTTTATAATTTATGTGTATATGGAGTTAATTCATGTGTATACAGGGGAAGAACATCAGGTAAAAAGATTCAAACACCATCTTAGCAGCAGCAAAGACTAAAATACGTCAGATTGCTGGTTAAAAAGGTTGTCTGCATTTAGACATTTAAGAAATGTTAAGAATATTTAAAGACACTACATTTTAAAAGTTCTTTTGAAAAAGTTATGAGTATATAGATTTGTTCTGATTCTATTCATAGTCCACACAATAAATTGCCATTCAAAGATTCAAGAATTCATTCACTGACTTGTTTTATATAAACATAATAGCTTTTAAATCACCTTTTAAACGTGTTCTACAAATTTCAGTGATTTTTTTTTGGAAATAACATTACTATATATTACCAAAATGGTGATTAAATGATTCAGATAAGTATATGAGTTTTTAAGAGGTCTTTTAAAGGACATATACAGTACTAAAACTACAAATAAGCAGGATTATTCCCCTAAGTTGAACACAGACAAGATAAACAGATCTGATGAAATTCATTCTGTAATGAGTATAGTATTTCAAAAAAACAAACATAGGAAAACCAATCAAACACTAGTAAAGGGCATATATAATAAAAATGTTCTCTTCCCTGTACCTAGAGGAATCAGTTTCAACTCTTTTTTCCCATAAGCTTGCAATTTCTGGTCTGGAAAGAACCTTTAAGAAGATCTCATAAAACTCTTTTATATCTTATGAAGTAGAAAACTAAAAATGAAAATTGCCTTGCTCAGAATCACACACTGAGAATCAAGCAGATTCAATAAAATCCTTATCTCCTGACCTGGACAGGGTTTGTTTAATACAATAAACAACTGTCTTAACTTTCTTAGATTAATCACTCAATTGTTTTAAAGCGCCTATTCCCTGAGACTGGCTGCAGTGTGGAATAATCCCCCTAATTACACTTTGGGGCTGTTCACAAAACAAACCAGCATATGTAAAAGTTTGCTGTTCTTTTTTAAAATCATTCATATCAACACAAGACAGAAAAAGAATTTATGACAAAAATATCCAAAAATATACACAGCTGTAGACATATTACCATTATGTAGGCTCATCTTTAGTCCATGGTTCCCTGCTAGAATTTTTTTGCCTTTTTAATAACTACTTCTCAACTACTTGTACTCTCTCATAAAAGGTTATTATACTATGTACACAGAAACAAAAAATGGAAGGTTTCTTGTTAAAGGATGAGAGTCTTTGTGTACTTGATTTTTTCTAGACCCATTATTGCTGTAATACTGATGTCCAATAATTTTTAGAAAATCTAATAGTAAGGGAATATAAAATTTTGGTCTTTTGTTCGTTAAAACTCTTCAATTTAAAATCTGGCTTTAGAATACAAAAGGACATAGTTTCTGACTTTGACTATCATTATCTGTCTGTATGTACATCCTACGTGTATATTTGACCTCCCTGCCTGTCCCCTACTTATAATTCCATCCTCACTATTCATATAGAATGAGAGGTGATGATAGAAGACTGTGAAGCTATACTAGGACTTTTTAACTTCTCAAGTCCTAGGTAAACTTCAGTTCCTATTAATGTATACCCTTTCAGCTTTTCTTCTAGAAGCTTTAATTCTTCAGCTCTAGCTTGTGTCTCCTCTTCTAATTGTTTGGCCAGTTTTTCAGCTTGTTCCTCCTTTTGCTGCAATTTATCAAGTTCATCTAGTGCTTGCTTTAATTCTTCTTCAAAGAAACTCCTGTTTTTAGTCATTTCCTCTTGAAAAGCACATAGCTTCTTCTGGAGACTAGAGGACAATTCCTACAGCCAAAGAGAAATCCACCGAAGAGTTTGCAATGGCACTGGGAGGTTTTACTCAGAACAAAACAGCAAGGAAACGAAGTGTGAAAACTAAGTTCCAGAACATCAAGGAAACTTGAAAAATGTAGAAATACCATATTCATTTTATCCTACAGCCCGTTAACACTGTGACGGTATTTTATCCTTGGTTCTATGCAACACATACACACACGCATATGCACACATACATACTTCTTATAAAACTAAAACCATATCTTACAACTGGTTTTTATCATATACTTTTCTTGTGATATTATATAAAAATATTTCTGATTTTAATTATACGAAATACTTTAACTATAACACAAAAATAAATTACCATGTGAAAAATGCTAATGTTCCACAGAAAGTGAAACTTGCCTTTTGACTATTCCTTAGCCAAATCTAAGTTTCCTCATTCCAGACATAACCACTAATTTGGTATATATGCCATCTGCTTTTCTCCTATGTTACTTATGTGCATTTTTAAAAAAAATGACGTGTGCAAAGAGAATAAAAAAAAAAAAAACAAAGACAGTGTCAAGTCACTGTAGACAATAGCTATTGACATCCGGGAGCTACTGCAGGTGCCCAAGCAGATATTTCTCATCAGAGCAGGTAAGTACCTATTTGCTCAACTCTCTGCAGTGTGTTTTTTTTTTTTTTTAAAGATTTATTTATTTATGTCTATAGAACTAGGGTACAGGCCAAAGCTGTGGTTGGTGAGAGGATTTACCAGAAACAGAATGGGGAACAAAACAGGCAGAGCTACTGAAATATACTGCTGAGTGGGGCAGCAGGCAGGTCAGGAGAGGTCTGCTATGCTGTGTGGGTCAGCTCCCTGGTCAGGTACTGAACTCAAGATGCGGTTTTGGAGAGCTTCATAGTGCAGTGCTTTAACCTGTTGTGCCACCAGGGAGAACCCCACAATGTGTTATTTTATCAAAAGTTTTCATTTGTGGCCCTCCCTGGTGGCGCATCGGGTTAAAGCACTGCACTAAGAAGCTGAAACCACTTCTGCATGAGTTTGATTCCCACCTGCCCCGGAGGTGACCACATGGCGTGGCAGACCTCTCCTGACCCAACTGCTGCTCCTCTCAGCAGTGTACTTCATTGATCTGCCTGTTCTGCTCCCCACTCTGTCTCTGGTGAAGTCTTTCACCACCCCTGAGTCTCTAGCTGTACCCCAGTTCTGTATGCACAAATAAAATCTTTAAATAAAGTTTTCATTTGTGCCAATCTCATAAGTGAAAAAAAAAAATTATTTCCATTTCCAGGACTCCTTCTGAAGTAGAGCATCTGGATTTCTGCTTCTGAGAATCAAGTTTCCATCTTATGCCAATTTTTATAGGATTATTTTTCTTCTTTGGTATTCAATGTAGAATGAAAATAATTGTCATTTTGGTTTCTCATGGAATTAGATGTTCTTATGTAGTGATCTAAAAAAAGAACCTTGGTGGACATTTTTAAAAATGATTTCCTACAGTGTTCCATCTGTTGTTTATAGTATTTCCATAGTGTCAACAGTGTGGTGAACAAAATATATCTGTGGCTACTGCCTCAGGATAAGATTCTGAAAATAGAAAGGCTGAATTGAAGAAGATATAGGATTGAAAATACTTTTTTTGATACACACGAAACTGTATGTCAAAAAATAAACATTAATTTTCAAAAACTGCAGTCAACTACCTTCTCTTGCTGTAGAAGTGATTCCATTTGTGACTCCTTTTGTTGTAGCTTTTCACATTCTCGTTTTTCAAGAATAAGCTTCTCTTTTAAGTCTTGCATTTCAGAATTCAGATTTTCCTCCTGTTGTCTAGCCCTGTTGACAAGGTCTTCTATAAAAGTGAAAACATTAGAGTTGCTGCAATTTGATACTAACAGCAATTTTCAGAAATCCAGATGCCCACAATATCTCATCATACTGCTGCTGCCAAGTTACATATATTGGGTATTTCCAAAAGGGGCGCCATGACTCTGAAGTTTGAAGCATCCCTATATATAATAGCATGTATGTTTTATGCTATATAATAAAATGTGCATAATAAATGTGTAGCCACCAATTTTAAATGGCTACCCACTAGAGAAGTAAAGAATGGTACAACTAAATGTATTTCAGTCAAGACTAGTAATATGCTGAAAAGAGAACAGATAATATAAAGACAAAATTTTTCATTAATTGAACAAACTTTTGGTTGTTTACTAACAGGCATTTTCTTAAATGTCAAACAAAGTTCAGTACTTGCCTATAGAAAATAATAGTGTAAATGCTAGATTACCTTTTTCTTCTTCCAGCAACTGACATTTAGCATTCAGATCTTCTGCTTGTTTAGACAATGTAACACTTTCCTCAAGGGCCTGCTTCAGGCTTAATACTTCATGATTCTTTTCTTTTAAATATTCTTCTAACTGGGCAATATCTAGTTTATATTTTTCTATTTGATCTGATGCACAACTGCATTAAAACAAATTATTTTGAAGAGAACATTTACTTAAGACTACAGAAGATGGACTGAAAAAGAATAAAAACGGTACATTTATTACTATTCAACATAGTAAGACCTGGTTTAAAATCACTGTCCATATTACCTGATTTCCTCAATGTATTCTAAGAGTTTTTCTGTTTCACAATTTTCATCAATCTTTTCTTTCTCTACTGAAGCACTAAAAAAAAAAAATAATAATGCACACATGAGCATATGCAATAATCACATATAATGCTTACTCTGTGCTAGGGACTGTGCGACCAGGCCACAGACTCCAGAGGCCAACCTCCTAACCATTGTACTATGTGACCTGTCAAGTTGACAATTTCCATTAAATGCAGATTGGACATTCCAGTTTTGTTTTGTTTTGTTTTAAGTGAGAAAGTTTTCCTAATATACCCAGAAAAAGAGAGCTATAAGAATACGAGTCATCATTTACAACATCCCAAATGTTAGAAATACTTTTTTGTAACTTTTTCGGTTTCCTTACCCAGTACACATGAGCATATTTTGGGTGTCATGAATTCTTTATTCCAGATTACATTATATTCAATTACTCATGTGTGTACCTCCTCCAAATAACTGAGAAACAATTAAAAATTATTACAACTAAGAAATAAGTATGAACCTTATTCAAATAGACACCTTACAAAATATGCATGAACAGTCACGGGCATATACATAAATGCTTCACATAAAGTACATCAAATTATAGTCCCAACTGAGATACCTGTTTACACCTACTAGAAAGGACAAAGTAGACCCATATTATCAAATGCTGGTGAGGATTTAGACCAAAAGGAACTATCATAATGCTAGTGAGAAATTCCCTTTTGAAAACTATCCCATGACTTGGGAATTCTACTCCTTGATATTTACCTAAGAAAAACAAAAACACACATCCCCTAAAAGACACACAGCAGTCTTATTCATAAGTCAGAAACTGGAAACTCAAATGTTGATCAACAGTAGAAATGAAAAAAAATGGAGGGGTAGTCATATAATGGGAGAGTGCTCAGAATTAATGGAACAAATCATCATACAACAGAGATAAATTGCAAACACATTAATGAAGTCACCCATGCATATATGAAGTGATACAGACCCCAGATATAAAACTAGTTTATGATGACGGAAGTCAGAAAGAGATTTCCAGGGATGGGGTACTACCTGGGAATGGGTAGAGAAGCAGGAAGGAGCATGACTGAATATTCTGAGGGGATGGCAATGGACTCTATCATGTGTGAGTGGTAGTTACACAGATGTATACATACAATTGCTGAAGGTTCATCATGAGGAATATTTAGACCTGTGTATATAAACTACAGTTCTGTAATTAAAAGGGTAGGTTTGCGCATTAGTCACAGCTCCTATATCCACATTTTTCTTGGTTAACCTTAGGACTTCTGTTAGGCAATGCCATTAGAAAGATTACAGAGATTGTCCGCATCACTGATATAGAAAATGCAATACAGACAGTAAAATATTCAGGCTTCTCTTTAGTATGAAGTATTTGGGAATAATCAGGGCAGAAAGAGGCATTAATTAAAGGTTAAACTCTCATGAAAAAGTCCTCATGGAGTGGGGTAAGCTAAGAATCATTTTTCCTTTTATCACTCACAGTTTCCCTTCAAGTTGTACTATTTTTCCCTGAGACTCTTCAAGATTCTTCTGGGTGCCTGGCAGCTTCACTTCCATGCCTTCTTGTTTTGCCATCATACTCTACAGCACAGAAATGCCAGTTTTAGGAAATGAGAAGTTGGACAGTGCCCAGGCCCAGACCCACACGCCTACCAAGGAAATGCTCACCCTCATCTTTGTTTCTCTTTTGTTTCGAAGTTTCATCAACTCAAGGCTTAGGATGTTCACGTTCCTCTTACCATTTTCAGAAAACTAAGGACAAAAATAGAAGAAAAACAATTTCCAAATTACTCTCTGCCAAATCTTATAAAATCACTTAAATATTAAATATTCTACATTGATTGGTGCTATTATCTACCTCCACTGTACTCTGGCAGGATTATTGACTGTACAATCCTACTGTTCTGGTCCTTTTTTCCTAATGTGACTTTCTGGTATATTTTTGAAAGTAACTTGGTTACTTCCTTCTGTCTCCTGGAAAAGATACTGCAAAGCTCAAAAACAAACTTCTTAGAGAGATTTAATTTTTATACATCTTCACTCCCTTTGTAAGTAAAAACCCCATCACAGGCCAGACTGAATAAATGTCTCTGATTAAACCAGTCAGTGACCAAGAAGCTCCTTCTACTTTGTAAAAGGATGACCCCATTAAAAACACCATGTTAAATCCTTCAAGATCTATTAACATATTAGTATTGCTAAACACAATTTATTTAAGACCATATGTAGTCCATAAATTTATTCACTCTCCATTTCAAAAGGATATAAGAAAGCATGCTGATGTTCTATTATTTATTTCAGAGAAAGTTTGTTTTAAGTAATTTTTAGACGTAAATTCTGCAATTTTTATTAATGATCTTCTTTATTAGGTGACTTTGAGAAAGGGTGATGAAATGTCAGACATGAAAACAAAAATTAACATGTTTCTTTACAGTCATATCTTATGTGTCAGGAACCATCATAAAAAAGACAATGATAATTCCTATTGGAAGCAGCTCAATATTTCAGGTATATTTAGTGAAGAGAAAGGGATTAAAAACTAGACCCTAAAAGCCTCAGAATACTATATCAGAAAAACATGCTCTGTATATATTTAAATGTGTCATCACGAGACTCAGATACCTTATTTTTTAATAGTTCATTGGACTTGGCTAAATCCATAAGCTGTTTTTCCAGAGAAGCATTAGTTGCAGCCAGAGATGTTTTCTCCCTGACTGCAGCATTTAGTTTTGCTTCCATCTTCTCCAACTCAGCTTCCAGATCCTGGATCTGCTTGTCCTGGACACCACGTTCCTGCATAAGAACACGGATCTGGATGGAAACAAAGTGATGATGGTTCACTGACACAATGCCAGGGTAAGGAGGTGCTACAATCAACCACCAGGGCTTCTGGAAAACTGATTTTGACCTGATGTTCACTGATCCTTCAAATACAGTGCTATCTGAACATTTATATTTACTTACGACACATGGTAAAAATCAGTATCACATTTTAAGAACAGAGGATTTTAATTGCCATAAACTTCTAGGTGGGATTGAGCTGTTTACTTTTGTAGCGTTCCTACCTAGAATTCTTCTCTTCTTTGGTTCTAATGTAATGAATTTATAGTTTGAAATGGTAAATGTCTATTCTATTTCAAGAAAGCAAAGCTGGATTTCTGGGCAGGATACAGTAGGCCCCACCAACCATCATTCCTGCTGTGCAGATTGACAAAATGAAGACCACATTTTTACCAACAGAAAGTGGGAAGCCAGAAGACACTGAAACATCTTTAAAATTTGGGTATATTATATGTGTGGTGGGAGGGATTAGGAACCTGCCAATATAAAAATCTACTCTTAATGAAAAAAACGTTTATATATAAAGGTGAAATCCAGGTATTTTCAGAGTAAAAAACAAAAGCTAAGAATATTTGTCAACATTAGACCTACACTTCAAGAAAAACTTAAGGTTATTCTCCAGGCTGAAGGAAAATGATCCCAGATGTTTACAAAATAAATATTTTAAATATCTGAACATAGGTCAATTGATAATACAAGGAGTGGAAATGACTTACTATATAAAGATTAAAATGTGGGTATATGAACATATATAGTAAAAAAATATAAATATGGCTGTTAATAAAAAAAAGTAGACTTTAAAGCAAAATGTATTAGTGACAGAGAAGGAGTTTTAAAATAAAACAATCATTTGAAGAGGAAGATAATCTTAAATTTGTTGTGCACCTAATGACATGACTTCAAAGAAAAATACAAAGTAAGAATTGACAGAACTAAGGAGAAAGAAGACTAACCCATAGAGTAAAAAATTTAGAAGTACCTCTTTCAGTAACTAACAGAATAAACAGACAAAAGTATCAGTACAGATAAAGATCTCTTTCAGTAACTAACAGAATAAACAGACAAAAGTATCAGTACAGATAAAGATTTGAGCAAAAATATTCACCAATGTGAACTGACTGACATATATAAATCACTGTACCCCAACATGAGAATATATACAGAACACTTATCAAAACAGACTACTTGATATGTATAAAGCAAATATGAGACAATACACTGAAAACACATTAAAAATAATTTCTACCTACTTTTAATGGGTTTGTGTTCATACTAATCTCAGTATTTTAAGCTTAACAGAAAGTGTATCAAGCCACCTACATAAATAGTTGTAACCTAGATGTTAGTGACCAAAAGCTTAAGATTCCTTAGCAGAAGATTCCCTATGCTTATATTATTTATGTATAACTAATGTCTATAGCGTGGAATTACAGAGTTAAAAAAAAAACACTAAGATCATCGACATTTTATTTCTTTGCAATCAAAGAAGTTCAAGCTTCTTTGTAAGCTCAAACATTTATGTGGTCAAGTAGATAAGATTAAGTCAAGCTGTGTGGGTGCTAAAGAGCAAATTCTGGTCTAAGGCAGGGATGCTCTGAAGAGTCATGTGGAAAAAGGGGTCAGAAACTTGATTTTATTTTGCATGATATTTTACTTTTAAATGTTGACATCTAATTAAAATCCAACAAGAAACAAATACCGCAGGGCCAAAATAAAATAAAGCTCTATTTGTCAAAAATCTCTATTCTAACAGATTCAAGTAACTGACAAAATGACCAGTTCTAATGGTGGCATTGCCACTTACCTAGCAGCTATCTCACCAAGACAAAGCTACTACAGCTCTATTAACTCTTACACCACAGCGAAAAATCCTCAAAAAATAATGGCCCATATTTTTAATGTAAAGAAAACAAGAATCAGAGCAACCAAGACAGAGATCTAAATTATCTAAACATATGCTTGATCCCAATATTTAACACTTTACCATGATTTATGAAGATGTTAACTGAATAGCAAAAGAACATGTCCATTAGAAAAAGAGCTGATTAGCAAACGAAACATGGAAAAAAGATATTGCAGGGAAAGCAAAGCTGGCTATGACCAGCTGAGGCCTGCCTAGGGAATCAGGGAATCTTTAGATCAGTTCCACTCAATGGACCTATCTACGATGCTGGAAAAGCCACTCACCACTCATAGCTATAGACAGCTTGATTTGTGATTTGTTTAACTGGAAAACAGTTCTTTAATTTAAATAACCACATGGGGTAAGGTGAGAAGCTACCGTATTGGCAGTATAGCTCTGATCATTTCATCCCTGAGGAAGACAAGTGGCTATGGTGAAAGGGAACGCATCTAATGAGGATAATTATCTCAAATTCCAACAAATCTACTATGCTCTCATGCTTCACATACAATCTTCCATCTAGTCACTGTTTTAACATACAGATTCAGATATAGGAAGGATGTGTGGATAAATACAAGTATCTGGTCCACACTTTGTTGTAACAAACATACTATTTTTCATTTCCAGTTTTTCAAGAAGTGAGTAATCTTGAATTGTCCCTTATTATGTTACATACTTGACTTTGCAGCTTACCACACTGATAGCTAGGCTCTGAAACAGGTATTCATGCTCAAGGACAGTTATCCTGTTGCCACTGGTCTGGTCTGACACATTTGCCTCCTTAGAGGACTCCTCAAACTGGGAGAGAATCCCTGTATTTTGACTCTATGTTAATCTGTCACCACTTTAAAACATATATTTATAATTCAATAAATTGAATGTATTTCTTACCTCTTTTTCCAAACTCTTCACATCTTTATCATTCTTCTGAGATTCCTTCTATTTAAGTAAAAGAACAGGGGTAAATAATTTAAGTGCCACAGATATGATAAACAAACTCGATTTTTAGCTCTCAAAAAATTGTCCTAGTTTTCTATTTTAAAAATTTTACTGAGTTGGGCCCTCCCTGGAGGCGCAACAGGTTAAAGCGAAGCACTATGAAGCAGCTGCTTCAGCATGAGTTTGATCCTGGCCATGATGGTGATCCACATAGCACAGCAGACCTCTCCTGTCTCACCTACTGCTCCCCTCAGCAATGAACTTTGTGGATCTGCCTGTTCTGCTCCCCACTCTGTCTCTGGTGAGTCCTCTCACTGCCCTGCATCTCTGGCCTGTACCCCAGTACTGTATGCATAAATAAATAAGTCTTTAAAAAATTTAAAAGTCTCACTGAGTTTATTAAACATTTTTAAAGTAAATGTAGGAAGTTTCTTTAAATCTCAAAATACTTCAATTTAAAAGGCTCCACCCCAATTTTTTTTCTTTTTTTTTTTTTTAAGTTTAAACAAATCTAGTGGGTAGGAGGGCAGTTGGAACTTTAGAATAAAGCTACTCTCTCCTTTTAATCTTTTCTAACATCCAATAGCAATATACTGACGATTCTATTATGCCATCTCAGAAAGAAAAGAATCTTAAGAGAGAAACATATTCGACATCTAAAAAAGAAAACAAATAAAGAAAAACTACAAAACCACATGCTCTGCTTTTAATTCATTCATCGCATTTATTTTAAATAGAACATACTTTTCCTGAAGAAAATAAACTTCTTTTACAGGCAGCTGGAAAACAGTGACAGGCTAGGGACAGCACATTGTGAACTTTGTACTGCTGGGCTTATCAATGATTAAGTGATCATTAGATCATTAGCAGTGGCCACTAAATTTGCATATTAGGGAAGTTACAGAGAATACTGGAGATTACATATAGACTACTGAAATTGCCCCAGCCCCTCAGGGACTCCCTCAGATTGAAGTGGCATTTGACGATGTTTCTGCCAAAGATAATGGTACAGATTGTAACCCAGGGAGGGGTTAAGCAAAAATGATATTGAAAATCAGTTAAAAATGCAGAGAACCATGCTAAAGACTAGCAAAAGAAGTAACACATTGAGGCATTTAGTATGGCTGAAGGAATCATCCATGACACAGAAATTAAGACTGAAAAATTCAAGGACTAATTGCCTGTAAATGAGCACAAACTAAAAGAGATTTCCAAAATGAGGGAGCTTCTGACTTGAAAAGACAGTGAAACAGGAGAAAATATAAAGCAGGCAGCATCTTCCCTTCAGCAAGCATCATTGAAGCTCTTCAAAATGGCGTACAAAAAGATGGTGTCTGAGCCAGAAGGCTGTGGAAGTCCTGGCAATGGGGAACAAAAGGAAGATCAAAAAGAAGAGAAGCAATAATAGCTGCAAACTTTGGAGATAAGAAGGCAACATTCTATGATGCTTTTGACAGGAGGATTTCGTAAGCAGAGATAGGCAGATGTCAGTCTTTTCCTGTTTTTCCAGTTTTCTATATGTAATTTCCCTAATATGCAAATTTAGTGGCTACTACTGAAATCATTTAATCAATGATAATCACAACAGAGCAAAGTCCACTAGCCTGCTGTTATTTTTCAGCTGCATGTAAAAGGGAAGACGATGTACTGATCATTATGAAAACTCACCACAGTGGAGGGGCAGTAAGGGAAAGATACACTTTCACGTACATCTTTTTATATCCAGCAGCCTTTCTGACACAGTGGCCAATAATAGTATCTTCTCTATCTGCATAAACATTCCCAGTGAAACCATATATTTATGGTGTGGAAGGGCCACACCAGTCTAATGTTTATTCATTTCCCACCTGATAGCATTTTCTATCAAGGGAGGCCTATTATTTTGAAGTTATACACAAACTTGTATGTAAATTAATTACCCAAGAGGATTTATAAATTCCGTAATTTAAAATTTACATATTTCCTCAAGCAATTCAAGCTAAGAAATTTACATCAATTTTAAGAGCATCTACATTAGCAGTGCCCACTAAAACACAATTATTTTATTAATATATTAACTATAATTAATATAACACTTAACATAGTACTGACTACTTATTAGAAAACAAGCTGGTTTATATTTTTTGTGCTGGATCTTCAAAATTTTCAGTGTATTTTACACTTGTAGCGTATTTCAATTCAGAGGCTAAGCTTCTGTCAGCGATATTGATCTACATGTAGATTCCATAAAACAGATTTACATAAAAAGCAGGTTTACATAAAAAGCACATACCACTAAGTAGTCCTTCAGTGTCAGGTGTCAATATTTTAGAACAAGTTTGAGGTTATTGCCAAATGAATGAATAAATCCATCCATCTCTAGCTATGTGAATCTTCTTAATATTAACATATCAATCTCTGTGACTACTTACAAAAGTACAACTTGCTTTAGTGACCTAATAAAAACACTAATAGACTGTTCCTATACAAGCCATAACATAAAGGTATTAAGCATTTAACCTCCCACCATTCCTTGGCAGTCTCTGAGTAGCAAACTTCTTATTTAGGTATTAAAACAAATCATTTCCTTTTTCATCACCAATACTTTCCTTCCATACAAACAAACATGCAAGAAGAAAAGAACTCAAGCAATGACAACCAGCAAACCAAAGCATCACACAATTTCAAAAGTCACAATAGTTATTATGAGATTTATCTACACATAGCAAAACCTGAGAAGTAGAGGTCATTTTGTAATTCTGACCAATGTTTAAACCACATATCTAGTAACACCATAAGCAGAAATATCAACCTTGCAAGAGTCCTAATGATTATCTTTCATTACTTTACAGGATTACTTATAACCTTCATTTGTGGATGCCACCAAATCTAGTCAACTAGAATACTTTCCCCAAATGTTTCTGATGAAGCAGTAGACAGACCAGCAAGGCTTCAAGAATTCCTCACCTTGGATCCCAAAGTCTTAATTTTTCTTGCTGAAGCAAGTTGAGTAGTATCTTTGTCAACATTATGATTTTGTTGAGATTCTGCAATAAAATAAATTGTATAGATCATGCTTGGTGCTTAGTGACTAGCCAGAAAAAAAGTACAATTTCCAAATTTTTTACCACAACTATTTGTGAAGCAATATAAAGCTATTCTTTTCTTGACTGTACATTTCCAAATCATTAGTTGCACAGTATTTTTACACATCTGAAAGTTTTATGTAACTATCAAAAGTGCAAAAACATCTATGTGAATGTTCTAATTAATTTTCCTGGTGATAAAACAAGAAAGTATTCTGTACTTGACCCATTTGTAAATTCTAGCAAATAAGAAAATTTTTCATTATAATGTGGAGTATATATACATGTGGAATAATGCTGTAACTATGTATAAGTAAATTGATACTTCAATAAAAATTTGAAAATTAAATATAGGGTCTCTCTGGTGACCTAGGGGTTAACTAAGTCTCAGTGCTTACCACAAATACAGCCTGAGTTCAATCCCCAGCCAGGGAACTAACCCACATATGGTGCAGCAGACCTCTCCTGTCTTGACCGCTGCTCAGTAAATTAGCCTTTTTTGCTCCCCACTCTGTCTCTGGTGAATCCTCAATCCCCTGCACCTCTGGCCTACACCTCAGTTCTTCTAATGCAAAATAAATAAATAAACAGAGCTGTAGCTCCACATGTTTTAGCAATGCTATACTATTTTTAAATTGGGTTATTCATTAATAACTTTACCACTTACAAGACTGTATAACCATTATTATATTTGGGGTTCCATTACCTTTCTGTTTCTTAAACCTTTGTGATTTCTGAAATGATACTGGTCCTTTTAAAACTTCTGAAGTTTTCACGTCATAAGCACCTGGAGAAGGAGCACAGCCTAAGAGGAAACATGAGCGTTAATGTCTCATCTAATGTTACCTGTGATGAAAACACTAATTCACAGGGAAACCTGCATCCCTATGTTTATTGGAGGATTATTTACAATAGGTAAGATATGCAAACAATCCAAATGCCCAAAAATAGATGATTGTATCAAGAAGATGTGGTACATATACATAATGGAATACTATTCAGCACTCAAAAAAGATCAACTCAGGTCATCTGCAGCAACATGGATGGAGCTAGATAGAGGGATTATGCTCAGTGAAATAAGTCAGATGGAAAAAGAAATATCAGACAGTTTCATTCACAGGAGTACTATAGGAACACCAAATAACAGATCAGGGGGGAAAATATTAAATAAAATAAGAAAAACAAAATTAGCATGTAACTATAAATCAGAGACATTCTACAAGGAAGGGAGAGGTAGAGCAATCAAAATAGGGGCGGGAAGAACACAAGGGACTATGGTGATAATTCACAGGTGATTGGTGATGGGAATTTTACAGGGAATTATACCTGAATGGAGAAAGCATATAAGTATATTGTACAAAATGAACAATGATAAAATAGTAATATATACATACATAACACACACACACACTTTAAAAAAGAATGGGGGCATATTTAAATCAAAAAACAATTAAAATTTTACTTGTGAGGCAAGTTAAAAATATCATAATAAATCAAATTTATTAATGTAAGTGTAAAAATGCCATTAGTGGCTGCTTGTTTGTTTTTTCAAATGTAAAGGGTATCTGTTTGCTATTATAAAAAGAGTTCTCTATGTAGAACAGTGTCACTATGTTCCCACTGTCCCTTATTTCAAATGGCCTGAAGGAACACAACCAACTGAACACACAGTGAAGGAAGTCTTGGGATAAGCTTCAGGCAATAACAAGTCATGTGGCTTTGTTGCTAAGGAGTGAATGTAAGAAAGTGTGTGTCCAGTATCGATTCTATTTACAAAGTCAATGAAGTTGACAATCATAAGATTCTAGAAATAAAGCAAAAAGAAAAAGAAAAGTCCAGTCCTCTGGATTTATCTTGGAATAAAAATTTGGATTAACCTATTTCTGGTTAATGTCAATGTAGCAGACCTGATGAAGCCAACTGCCAGTGTGAGGACAAAGAGGGCCGGCAGCAACACTAAGAGCAATTTGAATTTTTTGAGCACTTATTAGATGGCAAGTGAAATCTAAGTATTTTACAGATATTATCTTATTTAATGTTTAGCAATTTAACAAGAACCTATATAATGATTTACGAAGAAGTAAAATGAAGTTACACTAAGTACAAACTGTAAAGACTGCAATTCTATGCTCCAGAAATTTATATTAGGTAACCGCCCTTAACTTAAGTCCCAAATTAAGGGCATTTCAGGGCACATATGCACAGCAGATTTGACATCTGGCTCTCAGGACCTAGCAATAATATAAATGTCAGTGGCATAAAGTTTTAGCTATTTGGAAATCTATAAGCTGTTTACTACAATATAGTCTCCTGTAAATAAACAGGGATGGCAGGGAGTATGACCACTCCACTGCAATAACTTCAGTCCCTAAGGATTTTTCAAAGGAAAAAAGAGAGGTAAATGGGAACTGGTTAGATCTTGATTAGCATGAGCAAACAGTGGAAGACAATAGAAAGTATCAGTGTAACTCACATGCAGTAATGTGAAACACTGTTGCGGGAATTATGTTTCAATTATATATATAGACATAAAACAAATTCTTGGTTAGAGATATATTCTTACCTGGGATACAATGAAAAAGTATGAAATCATTGTTTTCTTTCATTTTAAGCAAGTCATTAAAAATACCAATGATACATTTAAGTTCCCACTCCTCTATCTGGAACAATGATCATGTATAAATACTGATAAAAAGTTTCTAGTCCTAGGAGCTTTCAGATATATGTGTGGTTAATAAGAGTTAGGGATAGCAGTTTCAAATTAGGAAAGAGTTGAGGGATAGAATTTATTTTGGTGGCTTAGGTAAAGACAGACTTAGCCAAGAATGCATACCTTGGGCAGTTCAGATTTCTTACACCTCACTGTGCAAGTTTCAGGAACAACCTAGCTCATGATCTATAATGACCAGAATCTAACACAGACAAACAATGTTTGTCAGCAAACAAAACATTTTATGTATTATATTAAACAAATGCTCCAAACTTCCACTCCTCTTTATTTTCTATTTCTTCCACCTAGAATAGACAACACATCTTCCATTTTGCCTGGCTAGCTCTCACATATAATGCATGAATCATGAACTCTGATGTTCGGCTCTATCATTAGGTTGTTCTATACAGTTACAAATACCTTCTGTTTCCTCACAGACAAAATGAGGACAATTTTATCATCCTAATCTATAACAGCGGGTGAGGCAGGGAAGACTTATCACAGTTCCAACAGTTATATCTGCTCAATGATGAGAACATAATCACATCCACGGCTTCCTGGTCTTAGTATTAATGCACTGCAATGGTTCAGAATACAGGCTGGACTCCTGCAGACATGACCCAATCCTATTATAAATAATAACAGTATTACCTCTCAGGGATGCTGGGTAATTAAAGAACTAATAATTAATGTAAAGCCTTAATATGGTGCCTGGGAGTACTGCCCATATTAGCTGCCAATATTTAAACTACAGAGTTTTCAGTAAGTGCTACTTTCAGGGATGCTGAGGAATTGAAAAACTAATAATCAGCGTAAAGATTTAGTATGGTGCCTGGGAATACTGCCCATATTAGCTGCCAATATTTAAACTACAGCGTTTTCAGTGAGTGCTACTGCCATAACTTTACACCTATAAACGGCCTCTGCCAGTTTCTCTTCTTTTATGACGGCAGAATATCCAGAAGGAACCCACAAGTTGAGACGAAGAGCAGTAATCAAATGTTCTTAACAGTGAGGTCTTCCAAACTGGTGCCCAAGACAATCCCCACGGAAATACAAGCTCTAAGGGCAGGGGACTTTGCTTTGCTCCCTGCTGTATCCATATCAACAGAATAGTGCTTTGCAATTAGTAGTTGCTTAGGTTATAGTGCAAAAAAGTGAGGCGACCGAACGGACCCCAAGCCAGCTAACGCGGCTTACAGGCTTTTGATAAAGAGAATTGGGAGGCGCCTGAGAATGAAGACATCTCCCGTCCCCCTGCTTCTTGCCCCGTACGCACCAGAAGGGTCATTGAATCGCTTCAGGGGAGCCTTAGGAAAGGACATGCTGACGCCAGGACCCACAACCAGCAGTTGACCAACGTTACGCTGCAAACAGCCCGCCGCAGATTTCAGGCTAATCGCTTTAAATTCAAATCTCCCCGCTCACTCCCCGCCCACCCTGACGTTAGCCAATAGGAAAATGAACACCTTGGGCACACCAATCCTGCACGCGAACACCCAAAGAGCGTGCGCTCTCGGCTCTCTGCAAGCCCAATTAGGCAGGCCGTGCGTTTAGACAACCAGCCAATAGAAGACTATCACTGTCTCTTTTTCCCGCCCCCTTACCCAGCTCGGCCAATTGTTTCTGGCTTTATTCAATTGTAACCTACACGCGCTCAACATTTGCGCAAGCGCACTTCACCTGAGAGTTTTAAAGTTTTGGCGTTTTATAGGTGACACTCCAGTGACTTACAGCTTCGCTGTTTCAAAACCTCTTCCTCTGTTCCTAGGATGTAAACTTCTCTGTATTTTAGTTCTTTCCCACTGGGTCCTGTTAGTATGTACTAAATGGGAATACGAGCACGCATTGAGACCGTAGACAATCCCTGCGCATGTGCAGTGACCCGGGCTGGACGACATAGGCGTGGCCTGCGCGTGGGGATTTCACGCATGCGCTCAGCTCTCTTGGTGTTGCTACAGCCGGGAGGCTGGAGGAGTATGTCGGCCCCGTTCGAGGAGCGCAGTGGGGTGGTTCCTTGCGGGACGCCGTGGGGCCAGTGGTACCAGACCTTGGAGGAGGTGTTCATTGAAGTTCAGGTGCCACCAGGCACTCGCGCCCAGGATATCCAGTGCGGCCTGCAGAGCCGGCATGTGGCGCTGGCCGTGGGTGGCCGCGAGATTCTCAAGGTAGCGCCACGTCGGGACTTGTGCTCGTGTATTACCGGCTTCCTTAAATCCCTGAGTGGTCAGGCTCTTAGTTCCCAGGGAGAGACTGGGCAGCATTGACGGCTCTTCGGGTGGGCCGAAAGAGAAAGCGAAAATATGGTCTGATTTGGTCCGGACTCCGACCACTGAGTTGTGGAATTTGAGGACTCCTGGATACTCCTTTCGCTCCCCTGAGAGGCTCCAGTAGAAAACAAATGAGCTAGATCATTAGTAAAACAAATATTTACTTAAAAAATACTTTTGTTCCAGACACTGATGTAGTTGCCGGGAGGACGGCGATGAGCAAGACAAGGTTCCTACACTTAAACACTCAGGTTATGTTCTTGTAGGGAGGTAGAGCAAAACTACACTCAGCCGTTTTCCGGCGGTTACGGGGAACCCCTAGGGAATATACCGGATAGGCCGTCAGGATGAAGCTTCAGGGCTAACAGGTGATTGATGTTCTCATTTGAAATGAGAAAAAGTTTGTTTTTGGAGTGTCAAGCAGGTGGCTAGAAGTGTGGGAGGATAACTAGTATCTCTTATTCTCAAATAGTAATTGAGTTGAGGACCCACTTAGTAGAAAATACGTTTTCTTTGTACATGACATTTTAACTTCTTTTCCTAAAATGTGAATTTGGCAAGTAACATCAAATCAAAATGGACTTGAAGCAGAGTTTCTGAAAAATCAATAACAACTAACCGGACATCAAATGTACAGTAGATAGTTAAAATAGTATTTTAATGCTAACTGCCCAACAAGGAGATATATCCAATTTTTAAAAGTTTTATTTAAAAATATGTGTTAATTAAAGCATTTTAGATAGTAATTTCACATTTAATTATTGATTAGTATTCATTTTCTAAAAAGTAAGGAGCCAGGAGCCCTGATCTTTAGAGAGCCCTGTGTTGTCATAATAAATAAATGAATATCTTTATATTCATAATAAACATAATAAATATATGTCATGATAAATAAAGGAGGTTCCTTTCACTCTCTAGGAGAAAACTCAGGCTTGAACATCCATGAATATAGTGAAATGGGTAAAATTTGATCTCTGTTATAAGTAACAAGTACATGTGACAGGAAATCAGATAAACCTTAAATTATAAAATTTTTATAAAAATTAATGAAATGCTCTATCTTTAGTACCTGATCTGTTTATTTTTCAGGGTAAACTCTTTGATTCTACAATAGCTGATGAGGGAACATGGACTTTGGGTAAGGGTAATTATGACTTGTAAAATCTTTTTAAAAATTAATCTTCTAACTTAGTAAATTTTTTTCTGTAGTATTATATCATTTGCCTTTGCAGCTTTGAAAGATACAGTAATAGAAATGTGTTGGAAACAATTGTTTGTGAAAGTTTTTGAAAATATAAATTTAATTTTTTTTTTTTTTGGTTTGTTTAGAGGACAGAAAAATGGTCCGTATTGTTCTTACAAAGACAAAGAGAGATGCAGCAAATTGTTGGACTTCTCTTCTAGAATCTGAATATGCAGCTGATCCTTGGGTGCAAGACCAAATGCAGAGAAAACTGACACTGGAGAGATTCCAGAAAGAAGTAAGTCAGAAGAATGTATGAATATATGTAGTTAAATAGCTAAAAATCATAAAACACATTATTTGAAATTACAAAACATGTTTATAAAAAATTAAAGTTCTTTAGAAGAATTTTTAAAGTTAAATGACTATAAAAATGATGGACTTTTTAAGTACTATGTGACTGTTTTTTATATTCATTAGAGGAATTAATTTATACTGCCATAACTTCTAAGCTGAGTTTATTTCATGTATAACCTTAATGCATGATAAACTTTCAGAAAGTCAGTATAGACTTACATAGTGTGAAAAGATTAAAGTTGAAAGGTTTCTTTAACATCTCCCCAGTTGATCTCATTCTTCATTTATGTATTGGCTTGACTGTTTATTTTTAAAGATTTGTTTTTATTTATTTATGCATGCAAGGACTGGGGTACAAGCCAAAGGTGTGGGGGTGGGAGTGGAGGTAGGTGAGAGGATTCTCCAGAGACAGAGTGGGGAGCAGAACAGGCAAATCTACTGAAATACACTGCTGAGGTGAGCAGCTAACAGACAGGAGAAGTTAACTTCTTGTCTGAGAGGTCTGCTGCACTGTATGGGTCAGCTGGCAGTCACTTGAGTGCTGAGACTTAACCCTTTGCGCCACCAGGGAGGCCCTGGTTTGATTTGTTTTTAACTGTTTTGTCCCAACTTATGTGACCAGCCGCAAGAAAGGAAGGTAGGAGGCAGAAAGGCTGAGCAAGCAGAGTTTATTGCTCCTGGACAGCAGCTGAGACAAGGAGCCCCTAGAGTGGGGTCCGCAGCTACTATCAGCCCTGTAGGGGGGAAGGGTCTCTTATATAGACTCTAAACTCAAATTCCAAAAGGGTGATTCATCGCTATGTCCCTTGATGTAAGGCCCAGATCATTATCACCTTCTTTTAGTCCCACCCCTGACACAAGGCCCCATTAATTGGATGCAAGGCCCAGTTTATTACCACCTTATCACCTTTGGATGCAAGGCCTGATTTATTACTGCCCTTATCCAGTCCCTCAGTAAATCTCCGCATTTGGTCACTCCCAACATTAACATAAATGGAGAATCTCGCTGTGTGTCATGTTCATGTTTCTTTGTCACTTAATAGTTTTTGGGTCTCTTTACCTACTAATATATATAAAGCATTCCTTTTAACTGTTTTAGAGTATTCTTTAAATATATCATTTATTTAGCTACTTCCCTTTGATACTTAGATTTCTCCATTTTTGCCTGTTTCAGTTTTTGCTTTCATTTCTTGAAGCTATTCACGTGTTCTTTAATATAGTTGTCTACGTGTAATTACTAGATCAAAGCACTGTTAACAGTTTTGATAGTTTCTGTCTCAGATGATGATTCCTAAAATTATCCCCATGTGGTTGTCCAGCAGACATACTGGACCCATCATGTCTAAAAAGAACTTCCAAATTTGTTCTACCTCTAGCCTTTTCATCTCAGTTGATGGAAATAGTTGCTCAGACCAAAAAAAAAAAAAAAAAGACTGAAAAACTAGAGAATCATCCTCAGTTCATTTTTCTCTCACACCCTATCATCCTTGTAATATTTACCTTAATTCTTTTTCATATCTTCTAGAATCCTGGTTTTGACTTCAGTGGAGCAGAAATCTCAGGAAACTACACTAAAGGTGGACCAGATTTCTCAAATCTTGAGAAATAGCTACTATTTATTTTTCAGCATTCTGTGGATCCTAGCAGATGTTGCTAACATAATCAAAAGAACAGAAATATATTGTGGAAGAAAAATGCAGATGCCTTGGCTACAGTTAACAAGTTGCAAAATGTATTTAACATGGTTCTAAAAATTACATTCAAATATGATTTACATAGAAAAACATCTTAATACTGTGGGAACTATTATTAATACATGGTTAACTTTTTTTGGACTTATTTTTGCTCAGCATGAAGTTTTATATGCTGCATTTTACTAATTTCATATTTAACTTGTATTTTTAATATAGAAAACATTAAGGTATAAATCATGTAAAATGCAGGGTGCCTTCAGAATAAATGTATTTCGTTCAGTAAGTGTGATGCAGGAATGATGTTCAATAAACTTTTCTAAATAGGAATGGTGTATGTACCCTTTTTTCTAGTATACCTGGTCGAAAGTATATTATTGAAAAAAAATTTAAGAAGGGAAAAACGATCACACGTACAGTCTGAGCAAGCTATTTTTAGGAGTTAAAATTTGAAATACTCTTCCTTGAGAGTATTTTATATCAAAAAATTGAAAAATAGTTAAAAACCTAACAGTAGAAATAGATAAATGCAAAAGAGATTCAGTCAAGTGAAAATGGCTTTTGGATGAGTGCTTTGTTGGTGACAAGAGACCAAGAACAAGTTACCATCTTATTAACAAGTCAGTGATATTTACATCTTTAGTGATCCAGACATAGAACAAAAAGTATTGAAAACTTAATTCAAACCTTCCATTAAATGTTTGTAAAAATTATCTCAAATATATAGAAAGATACACAGAATTTTCCTTCTAAACCATTTGTGTCTAAGGTGGTGGCGCAACTCCCTAGTACTTGGGAAAAACTTAAGTTTGTAGTTCCTTTAACTACATTATTACCCCTGTGGATGACCTTTTCAGGTTGAAGAAATGCCCATTGCCTAATTTCTTGTTAGCTGAATTTTTTCACAAGTATATTTGGATTTTCCATTTTTGTACTAATGACCTGATCATATTTTTTTTTCCTACTAGATTGTTAATTTGGTGGGTTATATTGATTTTCAAATTGTGAACCAGCTTGTGACACCACCCCCTCCCTAAACTTGGCCCATGGTGTATGATCAATTTATCTGGATTTCATTGTTGACTTTTTTGTCTATCTATTTGGGATGTTGGTCAGTAGCTGTTTGTTGTGGGTGTTTTGATATTTATCTTAGTTTGGTATTAGGGTAATATTAAACTTAGAACATGAATTTGAAGGTAATATGCTTTGTTCTTTCTGGAACAGCTATGTGTAATTTGTGTTAAGTCTTTAAATGTTTTATGATACATGCTGGTAAAATTTTAGATGATGGATTCAATTTTTTAAAATAATTATAGAAGTTATCCAGGGTATCTAGTTAAGTTCTCTGGCATTTTGCGATTTTTTAAGGATTTGCTTGATGCCATTTGACTCTAAATGCAAAGTTCTTTGTGCAGTTTCCTTGGCCTCTTTTTGATGTCTTCAGAGTAGGTAGTGTTTTCTTTTCATTCCTAAGTCATTTCAGTCTATTAATCTTGCTGTAGGTTTATAATTCTGATCAGTCTTTTCAAAGAGGAAGTTTTGGGTTTTGATCTGTCCTGATTTCACAGATTTATCCCTGCCTACCCCTTGTGCTTAGTTTGGGTTTCTTTTGCCCTGCCTCTGTTGATTCTTAAAGTGGAAGCTTATATTATTTGACACCTTTTTACCTTAAGAGAAATGGTGGATAGTGTGAATTATTCTCTGGGCCATGGTTAAGGTGTATTCTGCACTTGATAATTTCACTTTAATTAAGTTAAAAAAAATTTTTCTTTACCTTGAGGCTTCAAGCTCTTAGAATAATAAGTGTTGTTCAAATTACTGTTTTGGAGGTTTTCCTGTTACCCGCTATTTATTTCTTGTTTATAGTGAAAGAAAATACTTTTAGTCTTTTTAATTCTTAAAGGTGGGGAGGCAATGATGGAGAGGAATAAAGAAAATCTTTAGATTTAGTTTAAGATGCAGGATATGGTCTATCTTGGGGAGTACTCCATGTGCATTTGTAAAGGCTTATTTTATTTTAGGGTGATGTTTTAAAATGTGAATGTGTACGTGTGTGTGTGTACATACATATATATTTAACATCACTGTTCAGTCTCTTGTGATATTCCCTCCCGTTTTAATCGTTCCCTGCCCTGCTGAACATCTCACATTTAGTTGACTGCTAGTTTTGCTTTCCCCCAATCATCCCTCGGTTCCCCTATATTCCTATTAAGTGAAACCATCTGATATTTCCCTTTGTCCTTCTGACTTACTTCAGTGAGCATAATCCCTTCCTGCTTCATGCATGTTATGTAAAGAGTGTCTTTTTTTGATTGCTGAATAGCATTCCATTGTGTATATATTACAATCTTCTTTTCCCAGTCATCTATTTTTGGACATGTAGGTTGTTATTTAGGTTGTTTGATATCTTACCTATTGTAAGTAGTGCTGCAGTCAACATAGAAGTACAGGACTCCTTTTGAATTATTTGTGTCGACTCCTAGGAGTGAAATTGCTGGGTCATACAGTGGCTCTACTTTAAGTAACTTGAGGAACTTTAACACAGCCCTCCATAGTGGTTGGACAAGTTTGCATCCCCACATTTTAGGATGATTTTTATTGCAAGTAGATCCAGTTGGTTGTTGGTGTTACTCAGTTCTTGTATGTCTTTGCTGGTTTTCTAATAATTCTATACATTACCAAGAGGAACATTGGTAATGTATAGAACTAAATTTGAATGCTAGTCCTGTTCTCCACTGATGTTGCACATATTTATGAATGTCATGGCTTTGGTAATGTATAGAACTACATTTGAATGCTAGTCCTGTTCTCTACTGATGTTGCACATATTTATCAATGTCATGGCTTCATGATAAATTCTTTCATTACTTTCCTTTTATCCCTAGTCATTTTGATTGCTTCTAAATCTACTCTGTCAAATTAATACAGTGGTAACACATTTTATGAAAATTATTCCACTAACAGAAAGTAGGGAAAATAATTTCTCAAGTGTTAATTCTTCTGAGATCATGATGGTGTAGCATGATTGAAATTAGTGTGAGCAGAAGATAGTTCATTGGAAATGACACAATTTCACGAGTCCCTTTACTCTTCTGTTTGGAGAATGTTTAAGAGCACAGCCCTTGGGTCAGAACTGCCTTGACTTGAATCATTATCTCCCAGGACAAAAATTATGTGGCTTCAGGCTTATCACTCACTCCCCTGACTCTCCTTCACTTATAAATTAGGATAACTGTTCAATTTAGAGGATTATGAGATGATTCATAAAACACCTGACAAGGGGACCCAACAGTTAAAAACCATTGGCAACCATAAATGTCTGTTCTTTTTAGGTAGTGTCACATACTTAGATACATGTGCCCTTTTAAAAATAACATAAGTTATTGACTATATCTACTTTAAGTTCACAAAGAAGCTTTTTATATTTTTTTTTTTTTGTTATTTTTTTTAAGATGGGTAAGAATATGGTTTTTATTTGCATTCATGACTAACAAGAAAAAGGGCAGTTCTGCTTTCATGAGTACAAGGTCTGTCATTTGTCCAGGGGAGCATGATTTGGGATAAACCTGATCCTTTAGCCATCTGCCATGAGCCAATTTTCAGCTACCATGTCTTCAAACTCATCTGCATATAAGTTCTTCTTTCATAGTAATTCCTTGCAGTGTCAGCTTTATGTCGCTGTTTTAATTAAACATGGATAGATCATATTTTCAATTTCAATGATATTTACTAATGGATTTGAGCAGAAAAACACAAAACTTCAGTTACCTCTTCATACTAAGGAGAATTTGTACCTAGTGATATATCTAAATGATGAAAGTGACTGATAGTGCATAAATAAAACTTTCATTGTTGTTCTGCACATTTGCTCACCTTGTCTGTTTTGTAAAACCATTAGAAAGTAAAGCATCAGGGCCCTCTCTGATAGCACAACAGGTTAGGACGCAGCACTGCAAGCTAGCTGCAGCGGCTTCCATATGAGATCAATCCTTAGTCCCAGAGGTGATCCACATGGCACAGCAGACCTCTCCTGTCCTTCACTTCAGCAGTGTACTTCATTGATCTGCCTATCCTGCTCCCCACTCTGTCTGGTGAAGCCTCTCACCAACCCTGCACCTCTGGCCTGTACTTTAGCTCTGTATGTATAACTAAATCTTTAAAAAAAAATTTAGTTATGCATACAGAACTGGGGTACAGGCCATAGGTGCAGGGGCGGTGTGAGGCTTCACCAGAGACAGAGTGGGGAGCAGAACAGGCCGACTGACAAAAGTAAACTGCGAGGGGAGCAGCAGGCGGGTCAGGAGAGGTCTGCTATGCCATGTGGGTCACCTCCAGGTCGAATATCGAAGTCATGCTTTAGTGGCTTTTGCTTCTTAATGCTGTGCTTTTAACCCTCTGCCACCAGGGAGGGCCCAATAAATAAATCTTAAAAAAAAAAAAAAGTAAACCATCAATTAGTTAATATCCATATTATTAAGAGATTTTGCTTCTGCCTATCATACATCTTACTTTAGTGTTAAATTTAAATATACCAAGTAAAGAATAGCTTTTTATTATGGCCCTATTATAAGTTCTAAAGGTTAATTAAACCAGAAACAAATGGAACAAACAACCCAAAGAAGGGATTCAATCCAATGATTTTATTGAAAGGTATATCCCTTAGTACCAAAGCATAATGGGAGCTGATTAGGTTACCTCTGTCAACTCAAACATTAACACTGATGTATTAAAAATATTGAAATATTGTCAACCTGTGGGGAAAACGGAAGTTACCCACAAAACATGGTTTACAAAAGTGTAATATATACTCTGGTTCTTTGGTTCTTTGTTGAGTACATCTTTACCAAGAACATGATGGCATAATCAGCTGCACGTTGCAATGACCAGTAACCACTTACACCTTTAACATAGCCAATCCTCTTACATTCACCGACCTGACAGAACACTATCTCAACAATTTCATCATCATGAAGATGCCTGCTTTGCTTGTTTTGCTTACAGAAACGTTGGGGCAATTAGTGAAAATACATTTTCTTCTGTTTTTTATTTAAAATTTTAATTAGGAGCAGCAATGATTTTATAAAAGCAATCCTTAGGAAAAAGTTCTGGAGTGTTAAATCATGTTTTCAGAAATTGATTTATTCTGAGTTACTAATAGAATAAAACTAATATTGGACTAGGTTGAGGCAGTAAGTTTTATATAAAATTTTGTTGGATACAAACAAAAATTTTCTAGAAAGAAAATACTAAATACAACTTAATATGCCAAAATTACTAGGTATGTAGTTTGTACTATATAAAATGCCCTCAAGCTTAAATGCAATTCATGTAGTTCCACATCTCTGGATTATATATTACTTAATTTCTGAATGCCAAGAAACCATTTACACTGCTTAGAATAGTGACCCTTATTATGCCTTAAAAGTGCATTTGTGAAATGTTGGCTTTGATGCAACCTCATAATTTAAGTAGGTTACCGTTTTGAATACCACCTAACCATAATATATTGACCCAATATAGAAAGTTATATCAGTATTAGAAATAAACATTCACAGTTTACCTTCCCAGGCTTATCACCATTTTCACATTTATGCTCTTAGCTTTGATTTCTATACCTCATGGATGAATTCAAATCTAGGAGTAATTCCAGTACTACAGATAGACAGTTTTCCCAAATCTGAGAACATCAATGCTAATCTAGTTGTGATGTTTAGAGGCTTCACAGCTTAAATCCACTATAATATCATGAATCCACAGCTCAGGATTGTAGAGAAAGCCTTCAGAGAAGTGTTTTTTGGTTGCTGGAATAATCCTATTCAAATAAAAACTCAAGTTAAAAGAAGTCTCCCAAACATAAATATCACTATTAACAAAATGAACTGTTATTATCTTCAGATTCATAATCTCATATAGATTTGTTAAAGGTTAACATTTAGTTTGGAATAAAAAAAAAAGTTACCCAAGTTCATATTGATTCTACTTACAAGCTACTCAGATTAGTTCATACATGGATTGTTCAACCTTTTGTTTCTGTTTTGCATCCTACTCAGGGCTTGTACAACTTTAAATGAGCCACAGCTTGAGTCTACATATAGCAAAATGCTTCAATTAAACAAACTGTATCTTAGTACTCTTAAAGATCCAGGTTATTAAGGATGAAACTTTTGTAGCAGATAATTTAATGAAATGATGAATGAACATACCAAAGGATGGAAAATTTCTTACTCTTAGGGTGCTGACCTTGAATGAGGTAAATGTTCTCAAATACTAATTGGCCAGATCAGTAGAGTTGTTTTCCCCTTTGCTATTCCTGCTTCATTTTGTTTATTTAAAAATTATTTCAGATTTTAATTAAATTGTATAAGAAATAAGAAATTTTCTATTGAGATCTCCCTGGTGGTGCAAGGGGTTGTCTCAACACTATGAAGCTATCTGCAATAGAGTTAGATCCCTGGCCAGAGAAGTGACCCACATGGTGCAGCAGACCTCTCCTGTCTTACCCGCTACTCCCCTCAGCAGTGTTTCAGTTATCTACCTGTTCTGCTCCCCACTCTGTCTTTGGTGAATCCTTTCACCGCCCCCTCATTTCTGCCCTGTACCCCCAACCTTGTATGCATAAATAAATCTTTAAAAAAAGGGGAAAATTTTCTGTTAAAAGTAACTGAATGAAATTTACCCATTAAGGACCCAATTCAGGAATTGTTGGAAGGTGGGTTATTCTGTAGAAGCTATGCTTCAGTTGCCGTGCAGTGCGCCCAGAAACAATCCACTTCAACTTCTGAACATTGGGTTTGGAACACTTGTTTGATGAATATTCAGTTAAACACTTGGATACGAGCTCTTGCCAGAAGGTCAGATCTCTGCCATTTATCTGTTCATAAATTTAAAAGAAGTTCAATAAAATAAAAGTACTATAGTAATTAGAAATAATAGCAAGTTTACATGCAGTGTCAAAAAATTTTGAAGCTAAACTACCGAAGTTTCAAATAAACACATTATACTATAAAAGCGGTACAAGCGGTTTATTTATTTTTACAGCTATTAACAGGACTAGGCTATGACCTTGACATACCTTGGAATGTTTCTGAAGACATTCTACTTCTTCGGTCAACTCCACTCGCTTCTGTGCTTGAATCTCCAAAGCAATGATAGACAACGCTAGCACAGAAGGCTAAAGGAGATGAATTTTAAAGTTAACATTGAATATAAAAATTGGTCTACATAAACAGGTTTAATCTCACAAAATATTTACCTTTGCTTTAGAAAATATAATCCTGCAGTGGCATGCCTTCAATTGAGCTTCTAGTCTTTCAAAATTAAGGCTATTTCTCCTTTAAAAAGAAAATGATATTATATAGATAATTTTACATCTAATCAAAAGGCAAATTTCTAGAAAAACACTTAAGTCAACTTTACGGTGAAATTGATAAATATTTGTCACAGAAATTAGCTGACATAAATAAATCCCCTTTTTTCCGAGACATTAGTTTCTTAAGGACACTAACTTGACATAAATGATGAGTCAAATTAAAAATAATAGCTTCATAGCACAGCTATCAAGTTTCTTTTCAATAAGTCTGTTTCTGAGTATCCACTAAACTTTGCTTAATTCTGTGTTTGATTCTTATTTACCAGGGTCTTTAGTTTATAAATGAGAAAAGAAAGGTTGAAATATCCTTTGTCTAAATGCCAAAATTAGCCTTCATGGCATTCAAAAAGCTATTGACAACAAAGTTTCCTCACTTTTGTTGGACAATGAAGTGATACTCAAGGAATTGTCATTTGATTACTTTGATAGGAATTCTGCTAGGATACTGCTTTTCTGTAACAGCCAGACACTGCCGTTCCTATTTCCACATCTCCTTGGTTCTACGTACCTTTCAAATGGTAAGTTCTCTTGAATGAGTGAATAGTAGAGTTGCAGAAACTGAAAGGGAGTAGTAGCTTTGATTTTCCAGCACACCTTCTCCAATACAATTTTTTCCATTCTCATCAAGTCTGAAACTGTGAATCTATACTGGCTTATCCGGATCAAGTCAGCTGCCAGTGGGACATTCCTTTCCTCTTCTACAGACTTTACAGCCAAATAAAAGCAGCTCAGCCCAACACACCCAAGGTGCTTAGGCTGTACCTAAAAAGACAAAGCTCAAGCCTTTATCTTATTTCAGTGAAAACAAAGGATAACCTCCAGCCCATCATTTTGAAAATGTATATTTGGAGTCTATTTCTCAACTCTGATTATGTAACAAGATCCATTTATACCTGTAGACTGCCAACCCAATGCACCCTTTTGAAAAATTCAACTAATAAATTTCAGCATATAATGTTTGGCTTCACTACATAAAAATCCTTTTTTCCTTTCTTAATATTACTGTGAAACTATAAGCACTGCATGCTAATTGGACCAGGTAAGTGAACTGGTCAAAGGTACATGCATAACATTTCTTTTTCTTTTTTCTTTAAGATTTATTCATTTATTCATACAGAACTGGGGTACAGGCCAGAGATGCAGAGGGTGAGAGGATTCACCAGAGACAGAGCGGGGAGCAGAACAGGCAGATCGACGAAGTACACTGCTGAGGGGAGCAGCGGGCCGGTCAGAAGAGGTCTGCCGGGCGCCGATCTCCTCCAGGGCAGGCGGGAATTGAACTCATGCGGAAGTGGCTTTAGCTTACAGTGCTGTGTTTTAACTCGCTGTGCCACAAAAGGAGGGCCATTCTTTTTTTTTTTTTAAGATTTATTTATTTGTGCATACAGAACTGTGGTATAGGCCAGAGATACAGGGGTAGTGAGGATTCACCAGAGAAAGAGTGGGGAACAGAAAAGGCAGACTGACAAAGTACACTGTTGAGGGGAGCAGCGGGTGGGGACAGGAGAGATCTGCAGCGCCATGTGGGTCACCTCCAGTGCCAGGGGTCGAACTCATGCTGAAGTGGCTTTAGCTTCTTAGTGCTGTGCTTAACCCACTACAACACCAGGGTGGGTCCAGATACATGTATAAAATTTCTTTGCAGCAAACTGTTTTCTCAAACTTCTTTTGTAGTCACCTAAAGACTATTATAACGCATTGTTTACTCTGCCTATAAAGCTCTATCCACTACCCACCTTTTTTTTATTCATCATTTCCTGTATGTCTATAATATAAGGCGCAAACTTCTATGCCCTCTAAATTCCAGCCTAACTAAAACTGTAAGAATCCTGTACCAGTTATCTTTCTTTACTAGCTTTCCTCTCCTTGGAACCCTGTCAACTACAAACTTACTCCTCTTTAGTGGTGAAATGTAATTTCTTTCCTTACTATGTTTTGCATGTACATGTATGATAGTAATTAGTGTAAATGTTATTCCAGAGAAGATTTTAATGTACCTAAGGGCAGGTGTACATTATTCACCTGTGCAATATTTATAGTTAAAGGATATGTGTGCAATTGTGTCTAAAGAGTTTAATCTATTGAGCAAATGTCTTGAACCAACTGACTGAACAAATGTTAAGTTCCTTCTGTCTATGAGGTCTTGTGTTAGGTACTGAGGTCTAAGGATGAGTTTCCTTCTAACATTCAGACTACTTCATCATTCAATCTGCATGACACTGACCTACAGAAAGGGTAGATTAAGTCTTACCGGTAAGCTCTGAAAGCTAGAGATGTCCTGATTATCCAATATAGGGAAATAATTATATAAATGGTCCTCCTTCAGAAGATACTCTTTACTGTTTTCATATTGATGCTGGAATGTCAAGCATAAACAAGACTTGACAAAGGGCCCTCTTTGGTAGCACAACAGGTTAAAGCACAGCACTATGAAGCTATCTGCAGCCACTGCAGCACGAGTTCAATAGCACCAGGGAAGTGGTGCAGCAGACCTCTCCTGTCCCACCTGCTGCTCCCCTCAGCAGTGTACTTTGTCAATCTGCCTGTTCTGCTCCCCACTCTGTTTCTGGTGAATTCTCTCACCACCCCTAACCTGTGACCTGTACCCCAATTCTTAATGCATAAATAAATATTTTTTTAAAACTTGACTAAGCTCTATGACTAAATCAGAACTTTATATATGAGTATAGACTAAGAAATATATTCTTCTGACTAAATGACTGATGAAAACAAAAAGATATTCTAATTATTACCATTATCAATCATAACCTGCCTCAAAAAAATTATACAGAAATGAAAATACTCAATCTATCAAAGATTTTTCTGAAAAACAGCTAACCCTCCAAATGCCAAAAAATAGCTGACTGAACCAACAAGATGTGGTACATATAATATACACAATGGAATATTACTCAGCAATCAAAAAAAGTATTCATGCCATTTGCAGCAACATGGATGGAGCTGGAAGGGATCATGTTTAGTGAAATAAGCATGAAAGAAAAAGAAAAATACCAGATTGTTTCACTCATAGCAGGAGTGTAAGGGGGCAGGAACAAAAAGAAAAAATAAAGTAAAATGAAAATCAACAAATGACTATAAACCAGAGACATTCTGGAGATTGGGCCGGGGGAGGAACAGGATCAAAACAGTGGTAGGAAGAGAAGAGTGCACTGGACTGTGGTGCTGGTACTTGGGTGAAAAGGTGGTGGGAAGTCAACGGGTATTACAACCCAGATGAAAAAGCATACATTGTACAAAAATGAAGAATGATGTTAAAAAAAGATTAAAAAACAGCCCACTCTACTACTGTCAAGACCCTGATATTATTTTTTATGTCAAATTCTAATAGGAATAGTTCTCTTAAAAGGAGGAGAGTTGTATCAATGCTATAGTACACAGAATTAGCAATGTCTTGACTACTTGCTGGGAAAAAACAGGTATTCAGTTTCAGACCCAAGCAATTTCATCTCCTGAATATTCTGACTAAGAAATATCAGGGTGGGCTTCCGTGGTAGTGGAAGTGTTAAAAACTCAGCATTATCAAGTTATCACCCATCACTGTAATATGAGTTCGAGCCCATGCCAGGGAGCTGACCCACTTGGAGCAGCAGACCTCTCCTGTCTCGCCTGCTGCTCCCCTCAGCAGTGTATTTCAGTAGATCCACCCGTTCTGCTCCCCACTCTGTCTCTAGCAAATACTCTCACTTACACCCAACCTCTGGCCTTCCTCAATTCCTGCATGCATAAATAGAAATAAATCTTTTAAAAAATGCTCAAGGTAATGTAGCTTTAAACATACCTTCATTTTGGACAGGAATCTGTCCAATAAATTCACAGCTAGAGAAAATGTCTCAGTGTCGAAGCCAAAGAACTGAGTTAGACTAAGAAGATCTTTTACTTCAAAGTCCCTTAGCCTTGCTGTCATTCGGAGGCCATTATCATGTACAGACTCAATTAGTCTCAAGCCGGAGACCTTTGGCTGACATCTCGACTCCTGTTCCAAAAGGGTATTCAGCTGGTGTAGCAGTTTCTGCGAGTCAGTTGTCAGTACCTCTATCATCTATATATAGAACAAAGACCAGAAAGAAGCATAAGAATAGCCTTCCCCTTTTTCTTGGCAAGCTCACTGTACCAAGTACTTTACAACCCAAGTCTCCCCTCCCCCAGTTTTGCTAATGAATCTAAGAGACTGCAAATGCCATTTGTTATCCCCCTCCCCCAACAAGTTGGTCACATCCTAATTTGTGAGTTCTTAGAGGGCAGGAGTCATGCCCTTAAAAAAAAAAATGGCAAAACTCCAAGAAATACTTGCTCAAGTCATTCACAGTCAATAGATAATCGTGAATAATTGCTATAAAACAGGATATCCAAACTTGGAAATTACATGGCAGTAGGTATTCTGCCATACATTATTAACATATTAACTGCTCAAGTTAGTTAATTTTTCTTACCCCTTAGTTCCTCATCTGTAAAGTGGCTATAAGGTTGTTATCTACTCTATAGCCTTGTGTGGAATAAACAGAACCATCTAGGTACCAGCTTAGTACCTATAAAAGGTGCCTAAAAACATTAGAGACCAATAATGAACGTATTTCCACAGTCTGTAAAATGAGATGGCAAATATATCTGTCTCTTGGAATGGTTATGAAGATTCAACGATATGATTTAGTGAAGTTTGGCTCTGAAACTGCTCGCGTTTATTAGTGTTAGGAAAAGAAAACTTCGAGGGCAGGAGGCTAATTTGACCTGCTGCATGCGCCTGGGAGTTCCATTAATTTAAGACTGGGGGTTATTACACATCCACTCTGTACCGGGCACAAGTTAAGCCTGGATACCCAGGCGGTCCCTCCCCACATCAACTGAAAAGCAAGATTGGGCACATGAGGAACCACAATTTAATGGATCCAATTCCCTTGCCCTCAGGCTGGCTCCAGGGCCGCGCCCCACCAGACATAAGACACCCCAGGAGGCTGGGTGTGGCCCCGCCTCTCCAGGCTGGGGCTAGATCGGACATGTCCCTGCTTCGCAGCAGCGAGATCATTAACCGAGGGAAAGGACGCTGTGCAGTGCTAGCCCGCGCCCCAGACCCAGCCCGCACCCTGCGCCCGCCGAGGGTCCGCTTCCCCAGGCTGACCCCACCATCCTGGCTCACCTTGCTCGCGAATAAGGCTCCTCAGCAGTCACCACCCTCCCCGGGCCTGCTCGCACCTCACCTCACCTCACCTCACGATATCAGATCCGAGGCTCGCGAGGCGAGGGGACTCGCGGGCGAGCAAGTGGAGGCCCGGGGAGGGGGAGCCGTGCTGGGTATCGGGGGAGCTTGGCAGCGCCGCCCCAGTAACACTGCCCTCAGCAGGTCAGCTCCGAGTCCGAGGGGCCGCGCCTGGCCGCCTAGAAGATATAGTGAAGGGCGGGGCTTTTCACTAGGGGGCGGGATATTTCCGCAGTTGATTGGTGTGTTTCTTAGATGGATGGCCCGCTCGGTCCAAAGAAGATTGGGCTGTAGAGTATTCTAACCAATCAGCACACACTTCCCGTTAGGTCGGCGTCAAAATCTCCGCCCCTTGAAAGCAAGTCTCATACCTTCAAGTGTCTATCCTTGGAAAATTTCTCTTGGTGTCTTCAGTCAAGCTGAGCTTGAGCTCAACCTTGCGCACCCGAACACTAGTCCTGCCAGGGGCCCTTGTTAGCAAGATTTGACCGAGTATCGAATATCATTCTAGAACGTAATGGGAGTCTTTGTATCATTCGAGTTGATAGTGTGGTTTTGCCTCCACTTTCTAAAATACTATGGATAGTTAACCCCCCAAAAAAAGTAAAACCTTAATTTTTTTTTTCCATTAGGCTTGGAGAGATGTTGAAACTTTATAGGGTGGGTGGTATTTATTATTTTTAGGGTGGTGGTATATACAAGAGACTTCTCCTTGTAAACTTTGAAAATTAATTTATGTTTGCCACTTGGGGGGGTATAATTTATCAAAGAATGGAGTTGGGCTGTGTAAAATCTTGGTCTTCTATCAATTTTCTGAATTTTTATGTTTAAGCAAATTGAAATATAAAGTTGGTGGATTTTCAGGAGTTTAAAGTGAAAGGTGGGCCTCCTCTTTGGTGGCACAAGGAGTTAAGTCTCAGCACAATTAAGCTGAGACAACTGCACTAGTTTAATCCCTGGCCAGGGAGCTAACAACCTACATGGCACAGCAGACCTCTCCTGTCACCCTCAGCAGTGTACTTAGGTCAATCTGCCTGTTCTGCTTCCCACTCTGTCTCTGATGAATGCCCTACCCCCCCCCCCACCACACACACACCTCTGGCCTATACCCCAGTTCTCAGATCATAAATAAAATAAATCTTAATAAAGTGAAAGGTATGCTGACTATTGAAAGGAATGCATGAGCAGGATATAGTGAATTTGAATTTCAGTCCACAGACCAATGCCTAAAGCAATACTATTGCTTTTTATTTACTGTGAATGAACTTAATCTCTGGATGTAGTGGGAAAATAACTAACCTGAAGCTTTCCTGGAGAGCCCCTCACCCCTGACTGTCAAAAAGAAGGATGAGCACTTGTCATTTATCACAGATTACATTTGGATGTTTCTGTTCTCACACCTTCTTTCTAGTTAGTGGCTCTCTGGGCTTTAAAAAGGAAAATCTGGGTCCTCCCTGGTGGTGCATCGGGTTAGAGAGCTGCACTTCAAAGCTAAGCCAAGCCATGACCACTTCAGCGCCAACTCCATCCCAGCCCCGCAGGTGATCCACATAGCGCTGCAGATCTCTCCTGTCTGGCCCGCTGCTCCCCTCAGTAGTGTACTTTGTCGGATCTGCCTGTTCTGCTCCCCACTATATTTCTGGTGAATCCTCTCACCTTCCCTACACCTCTGGCCTGTACCACATTTCTGTATGCATAAATAAATAAATAGAATCTTAAGAAAAAGAAAAATCTGAAAGATTTACTGGCATCTTTGCTGTTTCTCCTGCCATGTATTTTCCTGATGCAATGCCTCAGAAACAAACTCTGAAATGAGGGCAAAGCTGTGATGAAAGAGAAGGGAAAGCCAGGAAGGAAAAAGTTATCTGAGAGATGATTTAATCAGTTCAGTTCCACAAAGTGGGGCTCAAATGAGGAAGGGGCCTGGAACATCCAGGAAAATATACCTACCTATGACATTAAATGGGAATTTTAAAACATTTTTTAAATGATTTGATCTTTACAATAATGTGTGAGTTTACAATGTACTTGTTTATTTGTCTGGGTGTCTGTAACAAAATTAGTACTATATAAGCATGCCCTTATTCAATAGTATGTGTTGAACACATAGTATGTGCCAGCAAAGAGCTAAACAGATAAGGCCTTGTCTTTGTAGACACTATAAACTTTGTAATAAAACTGACATGGTCAAATCATCCACTGCTAATACTAGTACTTTAAGCAAGCTATTAAATGACATTCTGTTTTCATTTTCTTTTCCCAAAAATGAAAGAAAAAGTACTTTATCCCTGGGATAGAAAGAATTGATTAAGGCAAAGTACATAGAGAAGTTAGGCACCAAGCCCTGAACACTTGATTAGCAAAAGCCTTTTGTATTAAATTACTAACATTTGGATACCATCCAGGTCTTCAGGTCTGGTCTCCCAGCCAGAAATGGACCCCAGGCTATAGTGGGAGTGCTGAGTCCCAGCCACAAAGCCACCATGGGTTGGTGCCTCACAAAACTGTGAAAAGTGATTTGCAGACATTTTAGATAAGCAGAGAAAAACAACCTTTGTTAAGAAAGTAAAGAAAAGTGTATTTAAAGGTGGAAAGTAAGGAGCAAGGAAGCCCTTGTGGGCATGTGTCTACATGTATTTAACCTTTTTCCCCCTCACCTTAAGAGTTTACCTCCTCTGTCCAAGGTCTCACAAAAACTGTTTTTGTTTAACCCTCCTGGACATTTTAACCTCAGCCCTGGAGTATGTTTTGGTACTTTAAATTTTTTATCTCAAAAGCATGTTTAGCTCTCCCAAGTCCCTGTCTGTACTGTCCCTGAATCTGCCTACTTAACCCTAATCTGCCTTGGGATTCAATTTCACTTGAATGTCTTGCTTAATCATACTTTTAATTGTGTTTTATCTAATATTAGGCTATTCCCAGCCAACAGAGTATTAGGCTTGGTTATCACTAATAAAATAATCAAAATTGTGTGCATTAATTTTCATACCCTCTTTATAATTGAAATGTTTGTGAGAAGTTTTAGCTAATATATCATTTATTTTACTAAAAATGGGTTAGTATCTTAGTATTAATTCTGTATTAAAAGTTGAAATACCCTACATGAAAAATAATATTTCACCAGCACTGAAGAAGCACTGATTAAATATAAATCAAAGCAAAAGGGTATTCTTTGAATTTTCTCCTTCCATTCCCTCCTATGCCATTTTTAGTCCATAATACTATAATGTGTACTACCATTTAAATTATGTAGGTTTACATTATTTATATAAGTAATTAGCAAAATATGCAAATGTAAGACTTAATTATCGACTTCTTGTGAAAGAAAGAAAATTAATTCCCCACACCTGTCCTTTTCCTAACAATATGAAAATTAGCCAGGAAGTTTCTATCAAGAATTTTTCAAAAGACTGACTTCCAAGGCCCTCCCTGGTGGCACAGGGGTTAAGTTTCAGTGCTATCAAGCTATCACCAGACACTGTGGCATGAATTTGATCCAGGCCAGGGCAATAATCCACATGGCACAGCAGACCTCTCCTGTCTCAACCATTACTCCCCTCAGGAGTACATTTGAGTAGCTGCACCTGTTCTGCTCCCCACTCTCTCTGGTGAATCCTCTTCCCCCTGCACCTCTGGCCTACACCCCAATTCTTGTATGCATAAATAAGTAAAAATAATCTTAAACAAAACAAAAAAATAATGACTGACAGGGCCCTCCTTGGTGGCGTAGTGGGTTAAAGCACAGCACTATGAAGCGACTGCAGCAGCCACTGAAGCACGAGTTCAACCCCCGGCCAAGGAGGTGACCTACATGGCTTGGCAGACCTCTCCTAACCTTCCCGCTGCTCCCCACAGCAGTGTATTTCAGTGCATCTGCCTTTTCTGCTTCCCACTCTGTCGCTGGTGAATCCTCTCACCCACCATACCTCTGGCCTGTACCCCAGTTCTGTATGTATAAATAAATAAATCTTTCAAAAAAAAAAAGACTGACTTCCAGAGTAGGTTCTATTTAGGCTGTGTGTTGTATTCAGTTCCGATCATCATACTTTGTTCTCCATCAATAGTTAAGTGCGACAAGACCTGAAATGCAGAATAATGACTCCAAGCTGGACAAGATCACAGGAATAGTTGATATTCTGCAGACTGCAGAAGGCCCTTTGATCAACAAAAGTTATAGCCAACAAATCTAATCATGGGGATGTGCCTGGTGTGCCTCTGACTCATAGGGAAACTCCCTACTGGCTCTTTCCATCCTGGAGCTTGGAGGAGACTTTGAACCTCACCATCTGCTCAGGTTACCTGAAAAATGTCCAGAGCTTCTGGAAGCAGGCTTGAAGAGAGCACAGGAAGGAAGCCAAGAGTAAAACAATCTCAGTCAACGTACTTCCCAATCCTTCCTAAAACAACTACTAAGGGCCTGTGGCATATGCCGAATGCACTGATCTAGTGAAAACAACTATCAGTGTCTGCCACCTCCCTAACTCTTCCCTAAGTGCACCTGCTCCTTCTTACTCAGTGGAAAAGAACTTGCTTGACCCAGACTTCTTTTAGTCTTTATTTGCTTTAGAGATATCTGAAATTGTCTACAGTCTGTGTGGTCATAGGGAGGCAGGAAGGTCACCTAGAAAACACATTAGTAAAAACAAACAAACAAAAAAATTAGTACTTGCAGCATAGTTTGCCATTCAGAGATGCTAGCCACCTCAGATAAAGCACAGTGATTCCCCATTATCCTCCATATGGTTTTGTGACGTTCCAGTTACCTGCAGTCAACCATGGTGGAAAAAAACACAAAATGCAAAAATAAACTGTTCCTAAATTTTCTATTACTTTCTGGCCACCATCAGCTGATGAAATCTCGCCATGTCTGTCTCTACAATGAGTGGAACCTGTCCTGACCCATCCAATATCCAGCATCGCCATACACACGTTGTCTGACACTAAAGTCTCATCACGATGCCTACATCACTCACCTCACTGTGTCACATCCCTCAAACATGGCGGCACCTCACAACATCATCAAAAGATGGGTGAGTTCAGTGCAGTGAGAAATCTTGAGATCAAACATAGCACATCACTTTTATTTCAGAGTATTGTTACGATTGTTCTATTTTATTACTAGTTATTATTGTTACTCTTTTACTATGCCTAATGTATAAATTA